ATATATATATATATATATATATATATATATAGCAGCTGGTTTCCTTGATTGAGTAGAGCAGATGAGCAAGCAAGCTGCAACATGAAAAAGAGGTACAAACCTGTGTATATGATCAGTACAAATTCCACATTGCAGTCACTCCATTCCTGGAAGAACTTTCTCACCTCAACCATGAAATCAGCAAGAAAGTTTCTCCAAGAACACAAGAAACGTTCAAACACTAATCTAGATATGTTGAGCCATATCCTGACAGTTCAGTAGATGCTGGTTCCATTTTACTAAGCAGAATAGTTTTACTTCAGTACCATTTTGACACATTGTTGCAGTCATTCATCAGCTTCCTTGTCTTCAAGAAACCCTTAAACTCAATTAACCACCAGCTTAATTGTACAAACCATCATAAACAATATGACATTATGCAATTTTTATTGGTAATCATCTTTTTGCTATGCACAACTCTTATCTTAAAAACTTTTATGTTCCTAAGACACCCTCTATAAATGGACATAAACATTCTCCAGACGTATCACTTGATTTCAATAAACTCTTCAATTTCTTTCATACAATCTTTTGGCTCACAATTATCCAACAAGCCTTTTCAATTTCTTTCATACAATTCATTTTTCTCTCTAAGGTTCCCATATCAGCTCACAAGGATAATTGACCAACGAATGAAATGAATTATAATAAATGATGATAATTGAAAGATTATGAGATAAAAATATAATTAATAATTAAGAGACAGTATTTAATAAAATTAAATTTTATTATTTTTTAAATGATTGTATGAGTAAGAAAGTTGTCAAGCCTGAAAAACTGCATCACTGATGGAAATATTTTCTAAAATGAGACCCCCATTATCAAAAGAAATCTATATTTCTGAAATTATAGAGGTGACAAGCATTTTTCGGGAAAACCGGTGGAGAATCTTGGCTGGTATCATTTCTCATTCACTAATAATATAATGATGTAGAGAGAATTCATCAAGATTCAGATGCATAATTACCTCAGTGATCCAAATGGAACATGACTTTGGATTAGATGAGGAGAGTTGACAAGAGCAAACAATCTTGATCGTGGAGTCTGATCTGAAGCAGTGAAGACACCCTTTCAGTTTGAAAGGCTTGGCATGGCTACAGCCAAATCGTATATCAGAATACTTCAGCAATTTTGCTAGCAAGAACACGATCACGCCTCTCCACGTATCCATAGGGGAACCATCCAGCCTTGCCCTTGCATTCGCCCTCTGCCCATCCATTATTGGATACCTGCAGGTGAAGATAAACACTTCTGATCAGTCAAAATAAGACAAGCACACTTAATATTCACTCGAATGCTTTTTCTCCTTTTCTTTATTTTACACAGAAAAACACCTAACATGGTACAATTAACAAAGAAGTTAAGATAATTGCCTTCCACATATAATTGGCATCTGCATTTGATCTCCTAAAACACTAATACCATATCATAATTTGAACCATAAATTTTGCATTTACATGTTGTCTCAGAGCAAACAAATTTCATTAGAAAAAAAGTAAGGTGCCTAATAATCCATACACATAGTTATGACCTGGAGAACTCCCATCTCCAGCATCAAGTGCAATAAGCATCATGTAAATTGAACTGACATGTTTTGACAGTATCTTACATTTAAAAGTAAGCTTGTGGATACACATATATGGATGAAAAGAAATGAGGAACCAAAACCTGCTCATTTGAGTATATTCAAAGATACTGGTTGTTTACTACTGCTTTGATCACATATAATTTATCTACAAGTCCCGAACAGACATTAATCTGATATGAACTTCCGTTGGCCAAAATGTCTCTGAAAGTCCAGACACTTGCAAAGCTTTGATTTAGCAATGCGAGCAGAGTGCTGACTACTAGAAAAAAAGGCTGGGAAAACATAATGCTTAATGCTAATCTGGAAATCATATCATTTTTCATTCACCATTATGAAATACAAGTTCATCCAACACTACAATCTATCAATAAATAGAAACTCTTCTATAAACCTTTTTTCTACATCCTGGATCAACATTAATTTGTTTTCCACTTTCATTGGATAGCATTCCCGACAAGAAAAGGCAGATATGAATGCACAAGATTCGACGAGTACCTTTCGCACAACAACAAAGTCTCCAACTGACAAGTCCAGTTCAGCATCTGACTCAGCCTGATATGAATGCACAACCTTCACAAATCACACAGTTTTAGTGAATATGGTTAACAAGTCATATATAGAACAATACCAATAACCACAGCATGATAGTAGAAACTAACAAAGAGATAGATTACCTCCCCCAGAAAGTATCCCATAGAATCAGTTAATCCATCAAAAGTGTGGGAAGGATATACTCCATCGGCTTCTTCATATGATTGAGGTGGAGGTACAGGTTCATCCAAGACTGAGCTTGGAGATGCTTCAATTCTTTGCCGTTTAGAAACCATCTGCAATCAGGACAAAAGGGCATAGTAGAACCATCGTGGAAATTAACAGTAAAAGATCATAATTACAAGTTCACAAGTTTCATCAATACACCAAAAAATTGTCTATTAAGCAAAATTGTGTGACACTTGCCTCTCCTGCAAGCTGGTCAAGGATTTGAAGGCTTTTCAGATGGTAACTGCGCTCAGATTCAATCTTCAACTCAAATGGAAAATTCAAATTACGTTACATTTTAGGCTACAACAAGATATCAAAACACGAGAATCACGTTGCCAAAGATGTACCATTGCAATTAGTCGCTGCAAAGTCAATCTTTGTTGTTGAGCTTCAACAGCAGCCATTGCTGCTATAGCTTCTTTACCTAACACTGTCATGTTTGATTTCAGTTCTTGCAACTTTGTTTCAGCAGCTTCTAACTTCAAACTATTGTCGACATAACCAGGAGCTTCCCTTAGTTTAATTTGGCACTTTGAAACTTCAATAGTCTATAAATATAAGCATCATATATTATTGAAAGAAAGTAAAATATCATTAGTAGAAGGCTATAAGAAGTATCATAGGAAAACACAAACATTTTAGTTGCATAAAAGCATGAATTCATGAATATAGAAAAGCATAACACATGCGGGATTGGCAACTAGAAAAGCTTCATTTGTTTCAAATGTACCTGAACTTCAGCTTCTTGTCTCATTTTCTCATAGCGCTGAGCAAGATGTCGAGCATCTTCTAATTGGGCTCCCACTACCATTGCTCGTAATGGCTCCACAACCTGAAAATTGAGGAACTTACAGCAAAGTGACCCAGTCTAAAAGGTAAACTATACAATATGCACAACAGGAAATTAGAAGTGGCCACGATTACTGGACACTAGATATTCATTCAAGTAATAAGAGATCATTAGAAGTGTCTAGATATGAGTGGCAAGTTCCCCAGTAGATCCATAGGAAATAGCAAGATCGAGTGTTTTTGCACCAGAACTACCAAGACAGCATAGTGACTTACCTCCTAAGGAATAAAAAAAATTTATCATCATGCTTATAGATTGGAACTCTTGGTTCTGATACAGTCCAACTTATATCTCAAAAAAAAAAGGCTAAAGTGATGAATGAGATAATTAATTATACCAGGCTACTAAGCGATTTCAATAAATTTTCACGTTCTTTTTCCATATGGGAACGAGCCTGACTAAAAATTAATGCAGCTTTTGATAATGTATGGTCACTGGTGCAGCTGTTCTCAACACCATATTTTCTGCTGTCATCGGATAATTTAGTACCTGCAGGATATTACTATATGTAAAGGACAAAATCAGCAAGAAGGAAAAATCACCAACAACTCCAAAGATATACCAATCTCAACTTGTTTTGACCCAGTCACAATGAAGCCTTCCACACCACGAACAATATCCCTTTGGAAATGCTGAAAGAAACATTCAGTATTCGTAAGATAAATAACAGAGACTGGAAAACAAAATGTTAGATGTCGACAGACCTTGCTTGATCGTGTTGATATGTATAGCTGCTCTATTCTCCGATATTGCTGAAGTTCTGCCTCATCAGTAATCACATTATCAGAGATTCCATAACCACCACCTCCAAATTGCTTCAGAACCGCCTGCATTTCGATGGGAATAATCATAATTGTTATGAAAGAAAATAATTTGTTTTACATATTTTACAAATGAAATACACATCAACATAGACTCAAGTAGGAAAAAATATTTCAAACTAGACAAATGTAAAGAAGTTGGAAATCTTTAGCATAGTTTTACATGCATCTTCTTTAACATAATCTTCCATCTTCAACAATAAAAGACTATTTCTTCATAAAAACCAAAGCCCATAGCAATTAGGTTTATCATTTTCAACCAATACTTTTCCTGATGTAAAAATTCGAAGCTTCCTAGTATGCAAAGGGATTTATATTCGAAAACGATATTGGTTGCCTGCCAGCAAAAAAAAATCACCAATTTCAGAATTATGGAACATCAACTATCTTTCTCTAGTGTCATTATAGTATATCCCCTATGTCAATCCCTTTGCATCCACCTCCGTACCTCTTCTAGAAATTCCCATTGTCATTTCACATGGCCCAAATTTGTGAATGCGTTAATATCCAATATCTTTGTATGTTAGGGATATTGAAGAATGAAACTAATTATTAGGATAATACCATACACAACATTATCTATGATTAGCTGAACCAAAATGTCCCATATGGAAACAAGGTGTCCATGTTCACTAGATCACTAGATTGCTAAAAAGAAAAGGTAAAATCATACCCAAATAAGATCAAGACCAGATTCAAGATCAGCATTCCACCTAGCAAACTCCTAGCACTGATTTTCTCAGCAGTATCTATGACAAATAGGGCGACCGTGGAAATGTTACATGATCTCTAAACCTAAATCAAAATGTGGTCTTGCAAAACCTACCAATCACATCGAAAATTCTTTTCAGATAATAGCAGAAGTGGCCATGCAAAACAAAATCAATCAATGCTACCCATTCCGATGCTCAGGTGGCGTCTTGCACAAGAAGCAGACAAAACCCTAGAAATGATGTTGCTCATCCGCCTACGCCGCCGGTTAATACCACTGCTCCAGCAGGCAGACACTACGATCAAGCCCTAGCGAGTCCAGAATCTACAAAGTAGCAACCACAAAAAGGGGAACCAGGAAGAGAACCACTGGACGACTAATCAGCCGCCGGAATGTTAGAGAACAGAAAGGACCAAGAATCGGTGGAGGGGGGAGCGGAATGGGGAGGCGGAGAGTTAGGAAGACCTGCTGCTGCCTGGCGACCTGCTCCCTCAGCTTGGTGGCTTGCTTCCTTATGGCATCCATTCGCGAGCGGGACGAGTCGCCGACGCGCGCGCGCGAAGAGAGAGAAAGAGACGGGGAGAGGGTTTTGAACGGTGTCGGAACGAGTCGGATGGGGGCGATCGAGTTCTTCTACTGGCATCGCATTTGGGCCATCGTCTTCATGCGATGGGCTCGAACCTGTGGCTTCCAATCCGAACCCAACTCGATCGACGCCATATCACAGTCCTAAAAATGACTCCTATTTTCAGAATATCAAAAATGCCCCTAACCACCTTTTTTTTTTATTTTCTTATGAATCGATCGATTAAAAAATAATATATTATATTTTTCATTTTATTATTTTTATTTTTTTGAATTCTAAAAGTTGTTTTACGCATTATTGTGAAAATTATAATCAACTGCTATTATTCCGTCATCCATAATATAAAATCCGGTGGGCTCGTCATTCGAGGCAGGCAGCTAAACAAGGAAAATATTTCTATCCTCATCGCCTGTAAAGGGTGACGGTCGGTTCACAGTGATCGGCATGCTCGACTTCCCTCCGCACCACCACATTTACAGAACCATAACTTCGACTACGACAGCCTCCCCGACATCCCAAGCTGCAGGTGGACTTCAGATCCGAAGCTAATCCATGGTCGCATCGGAGAAAGTGACGCCAGGCAGCGCAAGAACAAGAGGGAGGAAAACGCGAGCTGAAGAAAGCCGATGGAGATGACGACATCAGATTCACTGGATCTCTTTGTTCTCCTGTACTCCTCCGCCGTTTTGTCTCCACTCGAAGACAATCATGAGTCGTGTGCCGCCGTTTCCATTTCCTTCTGTCTGTGTATTTGCCGCCCATTAATGCGGTAGCAGTTCAGCTGGATCGGTATTAAAGCAGTCACCTCTGCACGTTGCTCGTTCTCTCCGTCGTCCCCAATGGCTGGCCTCGATCCCCAAGCCCCGGTTTACGTTCCAGCTTCACACGATATCACTCCATTTGGAAGCTACTATTACTCCTCTTCGCGAACTTGCTATTTTGTGTTCAACCAATCTATGCAGGTCACTCCATATTTCGAGCTTTGTCCCTACCCACCACCACCACCTCCTCCTCCTCCTCCTCCGCATGGACTTGTTTACAGCACTTATTGTGCTTGCTGGAAAGGGTTTTCCTGGAGTGAGATCCATTCGATCCCTCTCCAGCTGCCTGTAGCTGATGATAGGATTCCTTCGACTCATCTAAGCAAGGAGGAGGAAGAGGAGAGCCTCGAGCCTGACACCAAGGTGAACGAAGAGGTGCAGTGTGAGGCTGCTGCCGAAGCTCGGAAGGGTAGTTTCAAAAGGTTTGGATGCGGTGGTTCCTTTGGTTGGAGAAGGAAGGCTTCCGTGCCGAGGGCCAGGAGCCGGAGGAAGGAATCTGAGCTCAAGGGAGATGAGAATGTTGCAGTTGAAGTTGATGGTGGAAAGACCACAGTCATGATCAAGAACTTGCCCAACAAATTCACGTACGTCAACTCTGCGATCCCAGTGCCAGGTTTTACTTCCAGTAGCTTCTTACCTCTCTTTCTTTGCGTAGCAAGGAGAAGCTGTTAGGTATACTAGACCAGCACTGCTATGAAGAGAACCAGAAGATAATGGAAGAAGGAAATGAGAAGTCACTGGAGCTGGGAAAGGGAGATATCTCATCAACCACTTTGTCCGAGTTCGATTTCTTGTACCTGCCTATAGATTTCAAGTGAGTTTGCTGCTTTCCTTTGGCTTTGATTGTCTTGGTCGATTGCTTGATTTCTTTGTGGAAATGGAATTAGTACGGGCAACAACATGGGCTATGCGTTCGTCAACTTCACCAGTGCAGTCGCTGCGTGGAGGCTGTACAGCTCCCTCCAAAACTACGACTGGAAGCCGCACGGATCTCGCAAGATCTGTGTGGTCACGTACGCCAGAATCCAGGTGAGTTCAATCTTCCATCTATATCTAATTCTTAGACCTCCCTCCGTAGCAAACGCAACATTCCTTCTTTTGGGCACAGGGTTTGCCGGCACTGCAGAAACACTTCAAGAACTCAACCTTCGTGTGCCACAGCGATGACTTCCTCCCTGTGCGCTTCATCCCAGCTCGCAGTGGGTACTGTCGGACGGAGCAGCAGCACATTGGCAAGCGACTTCCTGTTTCCAAACCCTGATGATAAGTACTAACAGAGAAGGCAAGAGGACACAATGACTAGGGTTTTGTGTGTGTTTCCTGGATAACAAAAGCCAGGGTTTCTGAATGTCTATCTATCCATCTATACTAGCATTTAAGGATGGAACGGCAGATAGATGGATCGGAAGTAGACATCTATGGTTCTGTGAAATCATGTAGTTTGCCGTGTAGCCTTGATGTTTATGCGTATGTATGGTATGAATGAAATGGTTCATGAGCATCCATGTCATATGCATGATTGAGTGGTGGCGGCAGGGGAGGATCGAGGAGGGAGAGGCGTGGAACAGGAGGACGTACCCCTTAAGCCGCCCCACCACTGTTCAGGAGTGCGCGAGTGCTTCCTTCTGCTGCAAGGATTGTCTGCTGTTGGATGATTGACGTGCGATTCGACCCGACTAAAACGTGCCTCAGCTACAGTGGGTGTGCGGAGAAAGAGCAGTCCTACTACTCTAGTCTACGTAAAGCAGCAATTCACGGCATGGCCTGCCTGTTGTTTGTTGTCTTCTTCTTGATGGGCTCCTCTTCGCTCTGCTTCTCGTCTTTCTTCGTGGCCACAGCAACCCACTCTACCTTGAACTTTTGCTTCCGCGCCGAGTGCTGTGGCCGCATCTGATCCGTTGTCTTTGGCTTCCACGTTAAGGAATGCCTGTAATCCCCCAAACTCGGAAGCTTTTTGTCATATTGGTACCTGACTGCATGAACAGGACCAGCTCGACCATTCTCTGTGCTCCTCGCTGCACGTCCCCATGACCCTGTATTCCATCCGTCGTCGTGTCTTCGAAGGTCGGTGATTATATTCTGGTGCTGCAGCCGACGATTCTTGTGGAAATTACTTCCCCACGAGACATTTCGATCGCCGGTTTCACCCGGTCGATTCCCAGGGCCGTGGGAGCTCTGGAGATCAGTGGTTATTTGGGGAGGGGCAGTCTCCCATGGGCCCGGAGGCAAACCTCGGGGTATCGGAACCCTAACGCGGACGACGGCACCCTTAGCCGGCGGCGGCGGGGATGAGGGAGGAAGGATGAGTGAGTGCGGGAGGAAGCGGAAGCCGGAAGGGCGATCGGCCGAGGCTGGCGGCACGGCCCGAGGGGCGAGTCGAAGGAGCTGGAGAAGGAAGGGCTCGTCAAAGGCGGCGCCCGAAGCGCCGTCGCCCGCTCTGCCGGGCGCCATCGGCTGAGCCGTACAACCGGATGCAACCGCGGGAGGAGTTTGAAGCGCCCGACCACATCCCTTCGCTTCATAGTCTCATCGTTCGATCCAACGGCTCACGTCGCGTGAGAAGGCCCAAAACTTGTGATAAAATGATTCCACAACCACGATTACATGATGGGACGATTGTTCCCCCACATTTGTCTCGTTTAATATTTGCATACATGAAATAACAAGAAACATTTACAAAATATACAAAAAGGTTAGTAATAATTACATAACATATATATATATATATGTATATGTATATATATATATATATTTTATATTTAAAATAATTTGGTGAATTTTAGAAAAAAAAGGGCTTACTTTTTAAAATTTTTTACAATGTGAATGAAAAAAAAAATATTTTACTAATTCATTCGATAATCTCGCCCATGATTAATGTATAAGGGGGGCTCATGGACGATTGAGAAAGCTCTCTCCCTCACGATCGATAGTGTACCCCCTTCCTCTTGTGGCCGATAACAAGAGGAGACGATGAGTCTACAAGTGACGACGACGAGGGCCAATGATGGGGTGGAGGTGCGACCAAACATAGGATGATAATCAAATGTGATTAAAATTATCATTAAAAAAATATTATTTTATAATTTTTGAAAGTAAGGGTGTTGTATAAGAAATTTTGTAAAGTATGTTTTTAATTCGTCCAAATAATTTTATAAAAAAAAAACTTCAACTGGAAGCTGTATATTTTTTGGCATCTTACTGGAAGTCGTGTATAGTTTTTTCTTTCTTTTTTTTTTATCTCCAACTATACGCTTTGAAGTATCGAAACATATTGGAAAAAGAAGTATGATTTGCAACGAAAAAGGGAACAGAAAGAACTACTTACATTGGTTATATGTTTCCTCCGTTTCTTGTGCATCGATTTGTATTGCAACCCCTCGAATAACATACTTATGTACCCTTAGGAAGAGATTTCCTTCATCTTATGTGCGTTCTTCTCAGCGAGAACAGGCGATCCTCATCATCCATCGAAGGAGAAGAACATGGGGTTGGCTCGAACACTTTCCAGAAACGAATCGTTTCGTCTGCTGCAGCTGACACCACTGTCGATCCATCTGGACTCTTCACAACCAAGGAACACAGGGATTAAGGACTCGCAGAGACGTCACTCGCCTACGTCAAGAGAAATGCCACTGTGTTTCTGTGGAGCTTTCTTACCTGGGAAAGTTGCAAGATTCTGTCGGTATGCCCTGTGAAGTCTGTGATCTTTGCCAAGGAAGGGTACGCCCATAAGCTCAGACGATTCTGGTTGTAGCCATGGGCACTCAAGATCTCCTTCTGATACCTGTTCCACTCCAGCGCGCACACCTGCTCGACGAAATGACATGCCGTGGAGATTTAGACCGCTACCACGTAATGCCAAGCGGTTGAGTTCTTGAGCGTCTTGCCTGCGCAGAAGTGTTGATGCTGTTGGTACACTTCCCGGTTTGGACGTTCCAAATCTTGACGCATTGGTCGGCGGTTCCACCACCAGAAGCCAGCGTTTTCGGCTGGAACGGGCACCACGCGAGGGCTCTAACGGCTGCGCGGTGGTCGGTGAACCGGTGGAGGTACCTTGACGATCCCATCTTCGAGGATTCCCACACATGGACGAGGTTGTCATTGCCACCGCTCGCCAGCAGATCCCCACCGCATGACCACTTCAGGCCACAAACATCTCCGGTGTGTGCTTTGAGCTTGGAAGAGACATGGCGGAAAGATCTCACTGCGTAGATTATTGCATTAGTCCCCTTCGTCTTTTGGACAGAAGATTGAAGAAGCAAAAGAAGCACAATACCATCATGGTTGCTGATGGATGCATCACGACTGCCCGACGACAACATGTTCCACGTCCAAGAAAGGCTACCAACTCTAGCCAAGTGCCCTTCCAGGATCCTGACCTGAAGCAAATGATCACGCAAGTCAGGCGCTGTCTCAAGAAATTTCTCTGATCCTGATCTCAACTCTCTGCTACTAATCCATGAAAGAAGAGGAAGAATTGCACATTGTCGAAGCTACAGAGGAAGCATTGGACAAACCTGTTGCAGGGCTATAGCATCCCAGATCTCAACTTTGGAGCTCGCAAATCCTACGGCCACCATCTTCCCGTCCACAGACCATGCAACACTGGTGGGGTGATCATCCACATCCGTGGTTAGCAGCAACTGCACCATGGAGTTGGCAGCATTCCAGAGGCACAGTGAACGCCCCAAGGCGACTGCCAAGATGTTGCTCTTCCCCCAGTCCATGAGGTTGAGATAGTAATCATCAATGAGCTCTGGCCCATCTAGAATCCGGTCGGCTGACTAATTCATCCATCAAGAACAAGTAACTCAGCATCTTTTCTCCATAAATGACAATTACATGAAAGGAGAACTGTTATCTTCGCAGTAGACATCAAGAAACAAGAAGCTTTCTGAAGTGGTCCGTGAGTCCATGTAGTTTCGTCTCATTAGCATGATGAAACTTTAGTGATTCTAAAAACACAATCAATCTCGTCGAGAAACAGATTAGGCTACATGAATTTGATCCAATTGCAGAAATAAACACTGTTTCTAAGAACAAACTAAGCTACGTGAAGAACATAACCTAACTACAGCAAACAGAGCATTAGGGTATCTTTCATGATTCATAATGCATCTTCGAATCATCCAAACCACAATACGGTGAAGTGCTTCATAATCACTAAAAATTCCCATTTTGATCAAAATGTTGCTCTTTCGAACAACTTCAATGATTCGAGAACACGATCAAACTGTGAATATGCTAATTAGGCTGAATGGGCAGAAGTATAGATGTGAAAGATTCTTTTGGTGTTACAGGAATTACCTGGGGAAGATGCCGAATGCGCCTAATGGATCTTGGCGGTTCCCGCTGCTCTTTCAATATCTCATCCACCATCAGAACACTGGGATGGGATTTTCTTGGGCTTCCTCTGAAAACCAACATCTTGAGCGGCTTCCCTTGGGAATCCAGCGTCCAACTCTCCTCGACGCGCCTCCTATACTCTTCCTGACTCCATCAGAACGGGACGTCAAGAAGAAAGAACAACAAGATCAAAGAAAACAGAGAACGGCGACCTTGGGAGTCAAGATGTCGGGGCGATCGACCGTGGCGCCGTCTCGCCGTGGGTGCCGCATCAGCGAGGACCGAGCGAAGTCCAGGTTCATCAGGCTCCTGGTGGGTATGAACCGATCCCCCTTCGGACCAAGAACCGACCTTTCAGAACCAAGGGTTCAAAGAAGGAGCGGAGAGCAAGAAGAAGATCCGGCATCACCTGATCGACGAATCTCTGGGAGGCCGGGGAATGCCACTCCCGATCTCGAAGCCTCATCAAGGGCGACGACATCTTCCCGGGATAGAGGAAGGAGAGGTCTCGGAAGGAACCAGCTTAGGGTTTAGGGGTGGGGGGAGGGCCGGGAAGGGAAGGGGCTGCTTCCAACGGTCGTATTGGAGCGGCCATTACGTGAAGGCGTTGCTTCTTGTTATATGGAGTAGAGAGGGCTCGTCTTGGTTCCCGCCGTTTCCGCGAAACGATTCAAGTAGTAGGAGAAACGTTTTTTCTGAAAACGTTTCTCACTAGGGTACTGTGGAAGGCAGATTCCCAACCTAAGCAGTGTCACTCATAATAAGATCCACATAATTATAAATTATGATAAATCGGAAATAATACCAATGTCACTCATATCATGATATATAATGTATAATATTCTCACATATTAATTATATATATAATGTTGTATATGGGTTGGCAATGTGAAAGGATCATTCTAAATGCTTTATAGGTTTGGTTGGGGCAGATGCAAATGGTAATGGATTGGAACCCAGAATTCTGAGCTACGCACCAATCTTCAAGAAGAATCATATCATATTGTTTCCCACGTATCTTGACGAGCGTAGATTTTAATGCTGACCGACCGACCATAAGAAATGTGAAGTGATGGGCTCTAAATAGAGGACGCCAAGGACAAGCGTCCTACAATGGATGGACCATTCCACTCTGCTTCCTCGAAAAGGTTAGGTAGCTGCCGATGGTGTTGCCGTCGTTAGGTCACCTATTTGGATTGGATTTGCTTCGTATCCAACGCAAAGTAGAAGAAAACTGATGCGTCGGCCATGTCTCGGGGAGAAGAACATTGACGTGTGCCAAGTCAGATGGATTCCGATAGAAGGGTAAGCAATTGACGGGTCCGAATTCAGTTGCGGATCTGGATAACGTTGTTGGATATTCTAATGTGCTACGTAACCCCGATGCTAATTTGATGTGAATCTAATATTATAACCTCTCGGTGGGTGGGAAGAGCAGAACGCAACTGGACAAAGCAGGCGACACTTCACTTGGCAATCTGAAGACGCGCAGCAGCAGCAGAGATAGTTCGACCTACCCGCATCGACTCCGCCGCTGCTCTGACCACAACGGCTGAGTGGCAGATCTGGTAATTGTGTCCGATCTCGTGACCTTTCTTTCACATGAATTTATCCGCAACAACCTTCGGCGACGAAGTAGCGTCGGATTTCGGGATTTGCCCAACGAGATGGGGTTAATTTACGGCGCTGCCACATGGTGTTGTCCGTTGGGCCGACGTGGCGGTGGCGCCGTCGTCGGGGTTTTCCAAGTCCCAGCTGGCTGGGCGGTTCCACCTGTCGGAGAAGCGGAGCGAGGAGAAGGACGAGGAGGCGGAGGAAGCTAGCCGGTCGACGTACTCCTTCAACCACCCCCGCCCGCCTCCGCCGGCCGGGGACGGCTCCTCGGCGGTGGCCGTCACTGGGAGCGCCGGAGGAGGCGGGGGCGGGGGCGGCGGTGGGGGGAGGTGGACGGGGGAGCGGCAGAGGGGGCAGGAGGCGGCGGGGGAGAGGAGCCAGGCGTCAATGCAGGGGGAGTGGAAGGCGTGGCGGCAGGCGGGGAGGAGGCGGAGCTGATCGCCGGGGCGGAAGCGGGAGAGGCAGACGGCGCAGTCCGGCGGGGAGGAGGTGCGGACGGCGTCGAAGTGGAGGATGGGGAGGGCCTCCACCCGGGCCAACCGGTGCCCGTCGGACGACGATGACCTCGTCGATGGCGTGGACGGGTTGTGGTGGATGAGCTGCGGTGAGGAGGAGGAAGCGCGGGAGAGAAAGCGGAGGAGGAGGTGGATGGTTGCAGAAGCGAGGCAGACAGCGGCGAGGATGGCAGCGATAATGATGAGGCTGGGGTTGAACGAAGAGGACGACGACGACGACGACGACGACGAGAGGCCGCTGTAGTCAGCGGGAGTTGGGATTTGGAAGGGAAGCGGAGGAGGAGAGGAGTAGAGAGAAGGCATTTGGTGTATCGAGACTTCCGCTCCTCTTTTGCTGAAGAAGCTGAGACAATGGTCATATACTGTTTACTGTAATGTGTTCCACCTCTGCACGTATATATATATATATATATATATATATTCCTCTCAAGTTGGTAATTTTCATATTTATCCCTGGATATTATTGCAAAACCTAAAAATATTCCATTTTTTACTGATGAAATTTCAGAAGTTCATCATGATACTAAAAACATAAAATCATATGATAGGATATTTTAGATAATCTATATTTTATACTTTTTTAATTAAAAAAAAAGTCCGCCAGTGAGTTGGTTTTGTTCTCTAAATAGATATTAAGATGTAATAATAAATATTATGTTTATTAGGATATTCGGGTTAATTAGTGTATTATTATATAAAATAATAAAATTTATGTTTCAGTCATGTAAGAGTGTCATGTACACCGTTTAATGTAATGAAAAAATATTTTTATTTTGTAAAAAATAAATACTATTTTTATATTTTTATTTATTAAATCCCTTTTAATAAAAAGGAATCTGATTCTTTTTTGCATGCCATTACATGACTTTCGCACGATATTTCTCCTTTGGATTTCGATTATGGAAATGCTATCCAAATAATCATTGCTGTCGCAAGGAGACCAGCGTCCAAAGCATTTCTAAGATAAAGCTATCCAGTTTCTTTTTTTCCTGTTCTCTGTTCATCAAGATAAAGCTAAATAGAAAAAGAAAATCAACTTTTTAGAATAATTTGGATCAAAATAAGTTCTAATATCAACAATCCAGTGGCAGGTAGTTGCATCTGTGTTAACTCTGGGATATACAAACCCCCTTTTAGACACAAATTATATTTAATTTTGGTTGTTTATTATATGCCGCTTAAGTTTCTTGACTCTAGTCAAATAAAATAAAAATAACAAGTTCTTGTGAATTTTATTTTTTAAACCATAAAGAAAATAATACCTGCCTGCAGCTAAGACAGTAGCTCTTCGGCTTCATTGCCATCTTCATGTGGATTTTAGTGGTTAATCGGATTTCAACCCATCTGGTAGAAAGACAACAAAGGAAAAGACTGATGGCCAATAAGAGTTCTGAGAAGGGTTGTAATGAAGAGAACGGTTGTAATGAAGTAGGCATATCCCTGAGACTAGGAGTTAATTCTTCAACTTGCTGGCAATCATCCACAGTAATTAGTTACCAAAGCATGCACATGAAAGCTACTCTTTTATTACTGTTTAGTGGGTGACACACTTGAGGCATCAGCAGCCGGGATCATAAACCTGATCGTGTTGTGACACACTTCAGCTTTAACACTGGGAGAAAGGCATGAAAGCTGTTCTTGATAATTGTAAACCTATTGCACGTTCCAATTCAGCAATTTTAATCGTATATGGCATAAAAACCCAAGATCATATAACCCTCATCATACTGTGCCAAAGAATTACACATCTGTTCATTGAGCTGTAATACCAGGAGAAATTATTATCCGGAGCATAGACATGCAAGCTATTCTTGAAAACTGTAAACCTATTGCATGATGCAATTCAGCAATTATATCAGATCTAGCATCAACAACCAAGATCATAACCTCGATTATGTTGCAATAAATTTATGCATCTGTTGGTTAAGCTGTAACACCAGAAGAAAAAAATGCATGCTAATAGTTTTAATAATAGGGTGTCAGAATCACCAAATAAACTAACAGAAGGCATGATGAACGTTAGTAAGCTTTAACTCGGGATAAAATGGGTAGCCTGATGAATGATTAGCATAAATATAAGACAGCTGAAATGGTAATTAGCCAAACAATTCTTGTTGAGATTGTGATGATAAACCATGAAACACTGTTTGACAATTACAGAAAACTATTTGAGATTTTGAAAGGATAAGTATACACCTTTTAGACAATTATACATGCTGTTCTGTCAACTAAATGTTGTATTACTAAATTACACCATTATGAAACAATAGAGAGAATTGGAAATGGTTGTAGCAAATCCAACAAATAAGATAGAGGAATGCACCTAACGATTGCACCAAGTAGATAATGGAACACTAACAGGAGAAATTGAGTGTCGAAGTACTAACTCACAACGGCCACACAGACATCAAAGAAGCTTCCGGTTGGCTGGAGGAGCAAGTCCAGGAATATCCCGAATGTCTTTATTATTTGGATGCACAAGCTGAAAATTCAGTGATAAACTTCTTAAAAATCGATAAGAGAAGAATCGAACGAACAATGAATAAGATTTTACATCAACTGTTCATTATGAGATCTTTGAGAAAATCAACTGAACATTGCAACAAATCCACAACTCTTGCACCTTCACAGAGTTGAGTATCAATGACTGTGTAAAGCTAAAATCCTATGCTAGTATGCAATATGACAATGGAAGAGCAAATTAAGATGTTTATTCCCTTCGAAAAATAGTACTTGCAACTACACAGAATAAACTCCATTTCTAGCAACATACAACTGATTTTCATCCCTTGAAAACACGTAAAAATTATATCTGTAATCTGGAGACTCAAATGACGCAAGCAAACAAAATATCTAGGTGCAAGAAATTGATTTTAATTCAAGAAATAAAATGTACATGTTTCACTTTGAAATGTAGTTGAAGAAAATTACTGATTGCCTTGGTCTGTTAAAAAACACGAGGTGGATGAATTAAATTATTCATGATATGTTCATTTCTTAGAACGATCTCTTGAAATTGTTGTTGCATCTTCAAATTTATGGATCAGCCAAGAAAATAATGATTTAGTTTAGATATGGATCCAACATGAATGTTGAAAGCCATGTTCTGCTAACTAATTCTGGTAGAATCTTCAGTCAAGGCAAAGTGGTCGTGTAATAGAAGAAAGACATCTACAGATATGCTAGAGAGCCAATAAACAACCCACCTTCACTATTATGATGGTTATAACTCCAATCACGATCAGGAAAAGCATTCCCATTATACATCGATCAGTTGCAACCTAAAATTCATAATAGGAAAAATGAGTACAAGTCAAAAAGGAGACTTCTTGACAACTAGAGAACCATGCAATAGCTTCTTGAGAAAATGACCTGTCTGCCAATTTCCTTCACCAGTTGAGATGCTTTCTTAATTGAAAAATGGATCGAATCCAGTTCATTCACAATTCTACTCATTTGCTCGGTCTGCCAAGTTTGTGAAATATTATAACACCAGAAACAATGTGCTTTCAAATGGACTGCAAAAGATGTTCTAATGCGGTAAAAAAATGAGGATTCTGAACTCATTATGACAGACCTGTGCCTTCAGAGAAGCTGCTGTCTCTGCTCCAACATTGACAGTTTCTTCAACAACCTATATATTCAAAGTATGATGGTTAAAAAGAATGTTAAGGTAGCACATCTATGACAAGAAAATTTATTAATAAGCAATAGTTTGTTTTCGGGTTTCACATTGCTGGCCACAGCTTTTCATTAGCAAGAAAATCATGGAGTCTACGATGGAGCTTTTGAACATCAACCACCACTTTTCCCAAATGACATATGTAGAGCAAGAAAAATCTTTTAAAAAGCTTCACCCCATAAAGAATCTTCCAAGCACAAAGGAGGTCTATGAAACAATTAGTAAAAATCATACTAAATAACTTAAAACTAAAAACCAAAACAGGCAATAAAAAACTTGTCAATGTACAGCATGGTCTACACTTGCAAAATGACAAAAAGTATATAAAGTCCCCAAAAACCAAAGAGCTGTCTGTAGGCACCTGCAAAATTATTAGCTGAATGAGAACAAAGAAGCCCATATGCAACCCAACCAATCCAACAAGAGTGCGGTTAATGCCTTCTTTGAATAGAAAAATCAACACATGGAGTGGTTCTCTATGTAGAAATTGATCACCACAGTAATGGCAATAAGGCATTTAATGTGGAAGCTTTGCACCAACATAATTGATTACAGGTGAAAAATACTTATATGCAGACGGAACAAAAATATATAACTTGGATTTTGGAAGACTCTGGGCAGACCTATACGACTCCACCAAGTAAAAACAAACAAAAGGTCAAACACATAATCATCAAGCCAATGAAATGGACAACAAAGACAATCTTTAGAGTGATCTAGTGCAGATGAACGAAGGGAAACCAACCTTCTTTGACCGTTCAATAGCCTGGTCTGTTTCGTCCATCATTCGGTTTCCATTGTCCATTAACTGCTGATTGGTCATAGCTGCAAGACATTTCATAAGAAAAAAAATCAGCAATCTTAGGTTAAAATATTTTACTTAAGAGTGATTATGCAAAACAGGATTTCTAGCACATAGACCTACAGGGTGCCTCCGGTACCGATTATAACTACCTAGGAAGCCTTCTATTTTAATAACTGCCATAGAGTAGGCTTAATTGATGTTGTCCAGATGTTTAATCATAATTTCAAATGTAAAATTATTGGATATTACAATCAAGGAATTCTGTCCATGTCCTTGAAACCTGAAAAGAGGAGGAAGAGGGGAGTCACAGCAGAATACACAAAGCAATTTGTTCTTTGTTTTATTCAGCCAATCCAGCAATTAGGACATTGAGCTGGCCATTAGGGAATTGAACCGAGCATTACTGGTCTGATTCATCTACACATTTTAAAAGATGAATTGAGGATCAAGTATTTTGAAATGACTTAGGGTTGAGAGTCTCTGCTGCCACTGTGTCTTCCTCAACACAGCAGGACCATGATTCAATCGTGGGATGCTATACAGAGGTCAGAAGTCATAGATGAGAGGTAAGTGGTTTCTATAAAAGTCATTTGTAGCAGAATTGTTTTTAATTTGTATTTGGGTGTTTTCAGGACTGCAACTAGCCCAACCATGTCAACGACATGTATGATGCTAGTTGCTGGCTGAAACATGGCATGGCAGCAACACTGCAATAGCTGATCACCTACCTGGCAACACATACTAACAATTGGCCCTAGTCATGTATCATAATTCTTGGCAGAGCTCAGCTCATGGCAACCAACATGACAATTCTTGATTTGGCAAAACTTCTAGTGTTACTAAAAGAACACTTAGAATCAAGTGCAAGAAAATGTAAGAATCATTCAGGCATTTTCAACAAATGCAAAGTAAAGAAATGCTTGGTAACACAACCTAAGAATATTCTCCTGCATGTCTAAGTTGCACCAAGTTAATGGATATATATGCAATGAGGTAATCCAAAGAGAACTCACATGATGCCAATAGAACATTTTCTTCAGCAAACACATCTCCACCATCAGGACCATCAAAGAGATCAAGTCGTTTATTTTCACTTGCATGCCTGCAAATTACAAACAAAAAAATTAAAAATAAAATACTGCCAAAAAATTGGTCAAGAAATTTCAGTAATCGTAGCAAAACTAAAAATGTGTAGCTGGCTGTAAAAAAGAACAATAACAGGAAGAGTTTATGAAGTTAAACCAAAAATTATGACAGTGATGAAAGTTTGCTATTAAGAAAAGGCTAGAAATATAACTAACCTAATAGCTATTAGTCAAGATGACTAGCTGCATAGTGCAATCTCCTGCACAGTGCATATAACTAACCTTAAATTATTCTAAATTTCTAACTTAATGGGGAATATGCTACAGTAACATCATTAACTAAGAAAACAGCGGAAAAACAAAGATTCTGTTTCATATCAAAATTCAGCATACTATCCCTAACATCTATAAAGGTGACAACATCATACCAGACATAGTGGAGTAGAACAGAAATCACTTAATGATGGTCAGATGGAGATTTTCATTTACTAATATTCAAGAGTCTACACTGCGACAGGAGTCCATTACTCCAAAGGAGTCTACACTGCCAATATAATGTAATAATAGACACAAGATGAGAAGGCATCTTTCATTTTATATTTTGTTGGAGTAACTGATTTCCACATTTAGAACTTGCGAGAAACTATGTTGTTGGAATGTTTGAAGAATATATTTCACCAATTTTTTTATTAATAATATTATCCTGTTTGTTTGCTAATGTCCAACAAATATCTATAAGTAATACTAACCACAAACTAATAGGATGTGAAATTTACAGATTAAGATCTCTATGTATTTACAGTTAAGGAATTTTAGGGTTTTAGTTTCAATGGTAACATTTAGAGTAAGGCATTTTCTAGAATTTAAGGTTAAGCATTTAGGCATTAGATTTTGGGTCTAAGGTTTCTAGATTATGAGGCTTAGTCAGCTTAGGACTTTTAGGATATAAGATATATATAGAGTTTTGGCTTTTAGGGTTAGGTTTAAGGCCAGGATGGAAACTGAATAATTACCCATGTTCAACTACAGACATTTGTTTGACAATTAATGGACACGAAATAGTTGGCTCTTTAATAGTTGATTAACTGCTGACTCTTCCACTACTGCCAGGAGTTATCATTCAGGAGGACTAAATTTTCCTTAGAATCTACATGGCGAGATCAGAGTGCTAGCTAATTTTTTACCTTTTTATATTTTAAATAAAAAGTCAAGAAATTGACTAAATGAGATAAAATGTAGAAGAATAATAAAAGAAGAGCACAGGAAGAAGAGAGAGACAAACCAGATATCATACACATTTTAGAAACATTTCATGTGCAAATTTGAAAGGTTCAGCCAAATAACAATGTAAATTTGTCAAACTAGATCTGCTATCTAATTTGAATATTTCAAAATATAGTAAGAACTAAAGGTTTTAAACCGAGTTCAAACTTCCCTTTGGATAACCTCCTAATATGAACTCTTTGAAATAAAGACTTCTCAACAACTATCTTGAACCTATCAGATGTTTATAATAGGAGCTTTACTGAAAATTGTTTCAGTTGCCTAAAAGATTAAAAAAAGACCACCTCTAAGGTAACTTGACTAGACCCAAAAATGATGTTCATAAGGTAACCAGACTAAAATTTGGAGTCAACCTAGGACTGTTCTGTCCATCTATGTGTACTAGCTTATTTGTTATTTATCCACCATTACTGTCAAGGATATTATGTGACTCTTCTTCTTAAGCAACACAAATACTCAAAACTAAGACTACATTTCCACCAAAAAGAGAAAAAAAACGTTACATGCTTTGCTTTATTGATAAATTATAATGCCCATTCATGTTCGCCTTAGGATGATAAAAGCCCCTCAACAGCAGGATGGTTATATTTTCCTCAAAGTTCTCACAACATAATATAATCCGATGGAAACAATTTTATCTCATTGTGCATCCTTCCTATTACTTTGTTTCAGTATGATATATGATATATAGGCAAGATTTTAAACATGCACCATGAACACAAGCTTCATTTAGCTACAATAAAAACAAGTCATAAAGTAAATAGTACAGAGAGAACAACTCACTGCTTCTTCAGAGCAACATAAGAATTCAGTTCTTTAATCTGCAAAATCGAAGCTATCCAATTAGTAAGCTGTCCATTAGTAACAGAATATTATCTGATACACCAATTTAAACTGTGAATTTAAGGACGAAAAAAGATACCATTGATTGTTTTTTCTCATTCAGCCTCTTGTTTGTATCATGAGTATTTCTAATCTCCTCTTCCTTCATGACTCTTTCAAACTCTTTGATAAGCCTAGTAACACACCGTGACACAAAACTCCAAATGATTATCAGGCAAGAAAATGACAAAAACTTATAATGTAACACCTTGCTAATTGAGCATCTTAAAAATGCCACACTGATTATTGAACAAAAAAATAGAAGTGCAAATAAATGAAATTTATGAACATAAGATCTAACAATATATTCATAAAGGACAATAAGAAAAGGTTCACAGCAAAAGTCTGGCCAATTATTGAATGCAGGTTCTAGGTATGCACCAAGGACTCTAGCTGCACAGAGAACACCTGACTGCATTATAGACTTCCAGAGCAAACACCACCTATCATATTCTTGATGCATAGATTACCAGCTAGCATATGTTGATTTTCCATGCATTGGTCAGTCCCAAACTCTGCTCTAATATAAGTTATCACAGAGGGCTTGTGACCAGAAAGAGACATTAATTAGGACACTGAACAAAGAGTAAGAAAAATATCGCAGATGAACACTCGAAGAAATTAGAATCCCCAGAATATACCTCTTGCATTCCCTCAGCTTGCCAGTCAGTTCTTCTAACTGCCTACTCCGTCTATTCGAGTCCTTGATCTTCTCCAGTTTCTGAAATCCATTTCTGTTGAACATTTTTTAAAGCAATTAGACATCACAACATGGTTTCCCCAAATATGACTGAATCATCTACAGAAATTATCCTTTTTCTTCAATTCGGGCAAGGAGGACCATCTGAACTACAAAAGATAGTAAGAATTGTAAAGGTTTTCTTTTCCTTTAGGGAGAGAGAGAAGGAAATATATTTATACTGTGGCAATATCTGTAGCTTTTTAACAATCAATATTTAAAATCAAGGTTATCAAATTTTATGTCCATTGGCTTCTGCATTTTTTTTCTCAAATAGAAACTTTAATCATAATTTTTTTAGGCAACAAATATCTGTTGTTGCTTTTCCAACTAATAAGATCACCCACATCTACAATCGATATTTTTAATATATTAGAAAGTAATTCCAGACACAACACTTATGTCGAAATAATCTCAAAATTTCTTCTACTTCATTTTTTTTTTCTTTATTTAATGCAGTAGAAAAGAAAGTCATGAGATCATCGTGGCCATGTAGGTATTCCAGATCGAGGACAAATTTTAGCACGCACTAACTTTTGCCCCCACCAAATCACATAAACCTCAAACAACTGGAAACCAGAGATTCTACCCATCAGCAAACAGAACTGTCAAGTTCCAGTAAAGAAAGCCATTTATGCTTACGATAAAGCCCGAAAGATATCGCTGATCTGCCCCTCGATATGAGCCAGCTCCTCACTAATATCAGTCAAATCCATATCGCAAACCGGAACTCCGTCTCAATGGGATTCACCAACACCAACCCAGATCGACCCTTCAGACGCAAGAATCAAACAACGAGCCTCCTTAATCCAGGAAAAGATGCCAGCAATCGCTGCTACGACTACCGAAACACTCCAAAACCGGCAATCAACCCAACTTTCAGATCCCCGGACGCATTACGATCCCCCGCCCGCCGCGCCACGGCTGAAGCTCAAACGCACCCACGGCGTCCAGATCCAAGCGCCGGGGCTTCCGATCGCTCCCGAGATCGCGATACGGGCAAAGAAGAAGCCACCGTCGATCGGCAATGCGGGACCCGATCAGGACCCAGGCCGTCGGCGGGGACGAAGGGGTGGGCGGGCGGGCGGCAGATCTAGGGTTCCTGCTCGTGGCCGCCCGAGTCACCGTCGCTGGGAACACGAAGTGGGAACGGTTGCGACGTGCTCCAACAGCTGGGCTTTAGAACATTACAAGCTTTTAATTCTCTTAATGATATCGAGGTGTACTTTTACAAATGAACCCCTCTTCTTTGAGTTAATTATCGATCGACGCCTGTCTTTTAATCATTTGCAATTTGTAGTATAAATTGTAAGCTCAGAAATGTATATCAACCAAATACGAATATGTCTAAAAGAAAATATTTTTTTTAACTTTTTATGAAAATAAAGAAGTAGTTGACATGTTAGTGTCGTGCGCTTGATACGATACTCTCTCATTTTTTTGAATATTTAAATATTTTTATTATAAATATAAAATAAAAAAAACCTATTGTATATGATACTCTCACCCCTTAGTCATTCTACTCTCTTCCCATCAATCTTTTGCACTCTATTATTTTAAGTTTTTAACAATATTAAATTCATTAATTAACCTAGAATGCTTATGCAAATTTACTCACAGGAGACTCATCAATATTTTCATTCAAATCTCTTCTTAATTTCTGATGCAAAATTAGAATATTATAATCTCTCAATAAGGATTAAAATTTAGCAAAATGCAAGTCTCAGCCCAGTGGATTTCAGATTATGACATGCTATGTATTACCATCAATGGATAATTTTTCTCTTGCTAGAGTCTCAACTTGCTCGATTCTAGATCGTATTTGATACCATTTGTCATGATCCACTTCAATGAGATATCTAATTCATCGACTTTGGTGAACCTAAATCACTCATCCATAATTGTTATTCTAAGGTAAATGTATACATCCATCTGACAGATATTTACATGTCAATTCATATCCTTACCTGCTTCCAACATGAGATTAAAGTTTAAAATCTGATAATTGATCCCACTCTAGATCTCTTATATATACTAAAAATTATTTTAATTTTATCTAATAATAAATATATAAATATGCATATAAACTCATTATCAATCATATGGCAAGAGAAAGCTCCAAATAATTCAACACCATTCCCAGGTTATCAGCATTTTGGTTTTTCTCCGTTTGAACCACACTGTATCATCATCATAATCATCCAAGTAAAGAGTTTCATAAACTTTGTCTTACCATGTACAAAGTCATTTCTAATGACAATGGGGGACCGGAACTCATACTTGCCCATGTTCTTCTTACAAAATCGTATTTACAATGAGAAATCAAAACTTGTCTTAATGAACAAAACAATCATCTCGTGATCCTTCACCAACAAATCAATCTATTGATCATTCAAACAAAAGAATAGAAAGAAGAATTGGATGCTCCAAACAACTAGACAGGGCCAGTAACACCAATAGCAGCTCGCTTCCTCAACCTGTTACGTGTCACGCGTATCGCCTCCTCGGTGGCCGTCTCCTCTGACGGTGGATTTGATGAGTGCTCTATGTCCTGAGAATTTATGGGGTCGACTTGCATTGGTTCCTCACTTGGAGAAGGCTGGTTTGCAGTTTGTGAACTGTCTGTGCCAGGACCTGAGTCTTGTTGCTCGACTGCAGATGCTGTCTGTAGTTTGTTCTTGATGGGGCTAGGCAGCACTTTTGTTTCTTGGTGAGGTGTCTGAGATCTTGTAGGTTGATCAGCAGGTGGCACCGGAGAAGGAAACTGATGTGGCTGGACTGGAGATGCTGCCCGGAGATGTACACCAAACTTTCTCGACTGTTCCTGTGGCTGGTTCTTGATTAGGCTAGGCAGCATTCTTGTTTCATGTTGAGGCTGCTGATGAACAGGTGGCTCTGGAGAAGGTAACTGATGCGCTCGCTGCAGTTCCTGTGGCTGCTTAGATTGTGGCAGTTCCATGAAATTTGACTATAAATTTGTGAAATTTCAAGAAACAAGCAAGAAACAGGTGATATACATCAAAGCAGTAAATTCTATCAGGAGTCCTGTACGAGTGACTGGATAATCACGTGTAATAACTGTAGACTAGGAACCAGAAACAACAAGCATAAGCAATGCACCAATTTGGATTCGGAAATTAAATGTTCCTAGTGGCAAATCATCATATATTAGATATGAATGGACTTCAATTTAATTTTAACACAACATTTATTAGATACTTCAAAGCATCTAGTTATGTGAAATCATTGTTGCCAGTACCACGCTAAAAGATAGGCTTATAAACAGACAATTAGTATGAAAAAGATGAAAGATTTCTAATATTTTCTATACAACAATCCATCTATATGTTTTATAAAGGTAGAGCAGATTTTATATCCAGCTGTCAAACAAAAAGAATGAATCCATTTTTTAAGCCTGTCATCAAATAGCATATATGGAGTAAAAGGCACTCATAAAAGGGGGGGATAGTTTAAGCATGAGATTTACACAGTGCATTAGACGAGTGCAAATCATCTAACAGAATGAATAGGAAAAAGGAAAAATGTTGTGGCTACTGTACAATTATCAAAAGAGGTTACAAATATTAGCGAGATCAGGATTTAAAAGGTAAAGCCATGGCCCTCTAAAGTGGAGATAACCTAGCATGAGGTCCCTGATGCAATTAACTTGGACTATCATACATCATAAATAATAGTGTAGAAGTAAAAGACCAAGATGCATGTAGAAAAGTTGATTCACCCGATTGCTTATTCACATTGATTGATCATTGAAGAAAGATGTTCCCTACTCAAATGAATAATCAAAAGATATAAACAACTATATTGTGGTATAATAACGGATTCACCAGAAAGTAGAGATACCCCATCCAATTTTATCTCAAGGCTACCACAAAAAGCCACAGAAGAAAAATTTATATGACGCCAGTAACAACCAATGACTTTCATTAAATTCTGGGAAAGATTCCAAAAAGTTTACAATGGTATGGAGTTAACAAATTGGGCAAAAAGGTTAGATTAGATGAAGGTATACTGATTTTGGTCCTGGATTAATTGTTTCACATACAGTCAAACAAAGTGAAATGATCACAAAGACCATTCAAGAGTAAACTGGCATGTTAATACTCCCATATAACACAATCTTATTTTTATCTTTTAGAATTCTTTCCTAAATCAGAAAAATAACAACAAAAAAGAATTTTCTTCATGAAACATTTAATTTTTTAAAAACTTTACTTCACTTTAAGGTGATTTAGATACATATACATCACACAACTCAAATGGCCTCAGCAACTTAACTATGATAGAAGCCTCTCAGCTGGCCTTAGCCTTTACTGCCTCCATAGGCTAAGATCAATTGAACACCCCATTCTTTGGTGCTCTAGTAGAGTAGCTAGATGGACTAATTTTAACTTTTTGGAGATGAAATTTTCTAAATTTAATTTGTTCCATTCCTTTACCATTCTTTCATTATTTTCTAATTTTTATAAATTGTAACTAATGTCATAGGATTGCATCCATCTTATTCCGAATTATTATAACTGAGACAATTTATTCTTTTTTTTTTCTACTATTCTCATTTTTCTATTTGTTATATTTAAGTTTTTGATGTTTGCAAAAGTAGAGCCATTGAAACTAAATCCTAATCACCAGGCCATCAAAACTTAACCCGGACAATGTCATCAAATTATTTGCTCCAATTACCAAGTGAGACTACACTATTACAAAGTGGAGATATCGAATGCTAGTTCAAGGTTAGATAAAAGTTAACTTAGAAAAGAAAAAGGCATTAACACATCGAGCCATCCCTGCCTCGTTAAATATTCTAAAGTACTTGAAGATCATTAGACACAGATTTAAGGCCAGATGATCATGTGCCCCCAGAAGAAAGAATTAAACATATCTCTTTAATTATGCCATATGTCTTTAATAATCTAAATAAAATATGCATAATTCTTTCCTGTGCACATGTTTAGAGCCATTGAAACATATACCAAGAATCATGCACAGCTTTAACTCCTGTTTATGTGAGCAAATTTCATGTTTTATCACACACAAATCAGAAATCTTGTTGGACAACTGCCTGTCACTTTACACTATATATATAAAAAAAACTACATGCGACTTTCCACACTCCTCTACCAAACTTAATCATCCGCTTTTCCCTGATCTCCCATTTATTCCACAGAAAAGTGATCTAAGTTTAGCTAACCATACTTGTTTAGACAGATAGAAACAGCACAATGACTGAATTGAGTACCTAAAAACAAGTGAGTTGCATTTTAGATGTCACTGAACGGAGTATATTGAAAGAAGCTAAGCCTGCATGAGATCTAAAATTCAGCAACTATTTCTAAGATAATCAATGGCATGGTTACACTAAATGGATTTATTTCCTGATATAAACAAGTCCTAAGCTATCAAACTAACCTGTAAAGCCTTTGCTAAAGTTAATCAAGTCTGGGGGCAAAAGGAACAGATCTCATTGTTCAAGGAATAACTCTCACCCAACAATATTTGCATATAATATCTATGCAAAAACAGAAAATTATTGCCAACAACAGAAGGGAATTCTTAGCCTAGATCAACAACAAGGGAGAACAATTAATAACAGTTAAAACCCCTTTCTCCAGATCGACCATACCTGAGAAGGCTGTGTTCTTTGCGCTTGCAACAGAAAGCTAACGTAATTCAAAATCTCAAAAAAACTGGTTTGGCCATAACTAGCAGCCTTCTGCCAGAACATGAACATAATATCTGAAACCCTTGTTCTCAACTCAAGCAAATTACGATCAATCTCAGTTTCATGCTTTGCGATATATGGCCTGAAGAAGGTATCATAGACATATGTTGTTCCCTGAAACCATTTAAATAAAATATATAAACATAGGAAAATAAGATTCTGACTGGGTAGAGGAAATAAGATGAAGGAGAAAATGTCTTACTCTTAACTTAGGATTCCATAAATATATGTAGAGTGCCAATTTTGCTTCACAGTACATTGGCATCCTTCAAGAAAAGGTATAAGAAAATAAGAAGACAAAATTACAAGAATCAATCATTCAAATAAAATAGATTTACTTGATTACCACGAAAATAAAATATCCCCAAATCTCTCCAAGACTGCCAATAATGCAATTAAAATCCTGGAAAAGTGCAATCATTTTTAACCGAAGAAACTAGAGGGAGCAAAATTAATTTCTTGATCCAATCCAAAATAGTTGGACTAACCAGTACTGACACCAGAAACGCAACTGCTCAATCTCTGGTTTGTTCAGTTCTACGGTCTTGTAGCACGCATAAGCCGGGTAAGCATACCCGAAAACCAATCTGCAAGTTGAGAAGATAAAATTTAGATTTTTAATATTCTCCTCTTCCCGACATTCACCAACAGAAAAAAGAATAATCCAAGGGATTAAGGTGAGGAACGCTTACATCAAAGCTCTACTAAGAAATGAGCCTATCATGTTGATCTCAAATCACGCACGAACAGTAACTACTCAAGGATCCCTTTGGAGAAGACCTAACATTGCTAAAAGCAGAAGTAAGCCAACAGGAAAATCTCGTAGCTTCAAGATGCAGCAACATTATTAAACAAAACGAGGGCTCACCAAAAAAAGGGAAAAAAATCTTCAACCAATAATTCAATGCAAGATGATGCAAAGAAATGGAGATCATGATAGGGGGAATGAAATATGAGCTTTTGCACCATTTTCCTTCCAAAAAGATCATCAAAGGAAGAGATACGACACACAATAAATAGAGAACATAGAAAATTCGTAAGAATTAAAAAAAATCGATATTTGGAAGAAATGTTTCTTCATCTCAGAAACATAATCATCTAGAAACGTGAACATGAAGTCGAAGCGCCAAAACAATGACAGGAAATCATGCCCAACGACAACTAAAACGAATCATCCGCGACGTGATTCATCGAACAAGATAAAAAACAAGCGAATGCACGCACGAAGTCAATGGAACAAAGAGACGGGAAAGGAAAAAAGATCGAACCTTTTGGCCCTTCGCCGAGGAAGAGATCGCGAGCCATGACGACGATTCGGAGGGAAGGGAAGGGAAGAGAAGAAAAGAGAAGAGAGAGATGAGTCGGCTTCTTTGGGCTCTCTTCTGTCTTTGTATCGATCGCTCTAACGTGCTCGGTACCGGAATTGGCAATCGCAATCAAGAAGCCCGTTGAACGCCCCAAATTGGAGTGGCCACGCGTGGTGAGTGGATAACTCCGGGCGTGAATAATGGGCGGACAGGATAAACCCAGCGCGCGGGGCGAAACAGATCAAACGGATGACGGAGGAAGTTGGGACGTGCGTGCACGACGTGGCCGAGATCACTAGCCGTTGGATTGATGGGGTCGGGAGTGGGGTCATTTTGTTTTGTCGTCCCTACACGTGTAATTGTGCTCTGTTTTGAATTGACTGAACCAGCTCGATTGCGTTCATGTGTTGGGTTCAGGTGGAACCCATTTGATATATATATATATATATATATATATATATATATATATATATATATATATATATATATATATATATATATATAACTTTTTGTTGCCGATCTTGTGTTACTGTAGTCGGAGGGGATCGCCGAAGAGGGGCGTCGCGATGAGGGGGGCGAAGCGGCCGATCCACGCTCTGGCGGCATGGGTGAGGCGGCAGCCGCCGAAGGTGAAGGCTTTCCTCGGCGTGGTGGCGGGCATGGCGGCGCTCGTCTTCCTCCGCTTCATCGTCCACGACCACGACAACCTCTTCGTCGCCGCCGAGGCCGTCCACGCCATCGGCATCTCCGTACTCATCTACAAGCTCTCCAAGGAGCGGACCTGCGCCGGTGCCCGCCATCTCTCCCACTCTCCTCACATTTTGTGGTTTATTTTGATATATTACTGATGCAAGAAATTGACCGTGCAAGTGAAACCGAGTAGATTTGTTTCTGGATGAGCAGCTTGAAGGTAGACTGCGAAAATCTTAAGATTTAGTCGATGAGACCAAATAAACGATGAGTGATGAAGTTTCTTTTTCCTTCTTAATATAATTTATGTACTGGTGGAAGATTTGATTTTATTAGGGGTATGATTGGAGTGAGGGCCGTTGTTGTTCATGCTCGAGTTTAATGTGGAAGCTTGGAGGAACAGGACTGTAATGCCCTAATCTAAGTCCCACACAGCGGGAGTTTCTAAAAATTTAGATTGACTTATAAGAATCAGATGTTATATTATTATTAACTTGGGCTTAGGTATTTTGAGTAAGTGATTTAAACTTAACGAAATTAATAAATTACCTGTTCTATCGAGACGTGCCATGACAATATTAACTTTGAGTCCAATTGTCATGACCGGATGGAATAGTTGATTTATTGATTTCGTTGAGTCTAAACCACTTATCTAAAATACTTAAGCCCAAGCTAATAATATAACTATTATTATTTTTATATAAGAATTACTCTTTTAAGTAGAATAGGTTTCTTGAGACTAAGAGTAGTCCAAAAATGGGACCTTAGAACCCTATAATTTGGTTCACTAGCATCCTCAAGTAGTCTTTTTGATTTTTATTGTTTGTATTACCTATTTGCAAAGTTGTCGGTTATTTCCTTTTACTAAGAAATTAAGTGGATTCAAAAGTTGATCAAAATTTTTGTCGCTTTGTAATTCATTTCACATACCTCTAAATTTGCAGATACTGCACTTGTTACTTAGAATTGATTATCTTCTTTTTATTATTTTTTTAAAAAATTTACAGGACTTTCATTGAAGTCTCAGGACTTAACAGCTTTGTTTTTAGCTGTCAGACTGTATTGCAGCTTTGTTATGGAATATGATATGCACACAGTGTTAGATACCGCCACACTTGCTACTACTCTTTGGGTTATTTACATGATACGGTTTAAACTGAAGTCGAGTTACATGGAGGACAAGGACAACTTTGCTATATATTACGTGGTAAGTAGTAACAGCTATCAATTTGATGTGAACCCCTATTGAAAATTTATGGGGTGAAAGTAATAACTGTTTTCTACTGCTTGGACTGTGAGTTTGTTCTTTCTTTTACTTGGACTAGAAAAAAACTTGCTTATAAAGCGCTCTAATATTGTCTGAATAACCTTAGAGGAAATGAGATCTTGTAACTCTACATTGTTTGTGCTAAATGGTGAAGTTGGACTCAGGGCACTATTGTTTTCTTTATCATTATCTTTTTGTATTTGTGATGTTTTTTTATTAAGTTCTGGTTATAAAGATACTTGTGCCTGGCAAATGCCTGCACATCATGCGGTACTGATAACTTTACTAGGAACTAAACTTCCTGTTAATGGTACATCAAATCATAAAAGAGTAGAGAGGTTAGATTTTTTGAAGGAAACAGAAATCTTTTCTCTTAAATTTTTTTCCTTCCTTCAAGTTTCTCCAAAGGTTCATCTTCTTTTCACATTCCTAGAAAGTTTTATGTATCATGAGAATGGCTTGCTTTGTATTTATAACATTATATCCAAATTAAGTTTGCTTCTCTTTACATGATTGTAGGCAGTGCCTTGTGCTTTGTTAGCCCTTGCAGTTCATCCTTCAACCTCACATAATATCTTCAATAGAATTTGTTGGGCCTTTTGTGTTTATTTGGAAGCTGTGTCAGTGTTGCCCCAGTTACGTTTAATGCAGAACACCAAGGTACAGCTTGTAATCTGAGAGCCTTGCAAACTTTTTTGAAGCAAAATTCAGTAATTGTATCATTAAATATGCTTTCCAGATTGTAGAACCATTCACGGCTCACTATGTTTTTGCCTTGGGGGTTGCAAGATTTCTCAGTTGTGCTCATTGGGTCCTTCAGGTTTGTTTTAGTCTGAATTTTGGTTGTTTTATAAGGGAATTATTTATATTTGTATTCTTATTATATTTTGTGGATTCATCACCCATGTATGTTCGACAAAGTAATTTTCTTAAGCATATAAGCATGATAAGATTATTGCTTTGTAGCATTCATTGTTCTAATATTTTATTAATTGCCATGGTTGATCAATAGATGTTCATGTATTTGTTATTTAAATATGAACTAAATATGAGCTAGTGTTTTATCCCTTTTATTTTTTTGTAAGCTAAATATAAACTAAAGGAATATACAAGAATTTGATTAGAATCAAGGTTCGTTGTACCATAACATACTGCTCAGTATGGGCAGTACATGTCGGTTCAATAGGGGATCGGTATAAGTGGTTCATCGTTACCCCCCCCAATATACTATATGTAGTACGCTCGGTATGACTCGATACATACTATACCGATAGCTGGTTGGTACACCAGTACAGATCGGTAAGACGAACCATGATTGGAACACTGGTTCTCCTTTTGATAATTTCTGCAAACCATTTTCCTAATTATCTGGCTTATGGTTGCATTCAAGTGAGAATGATAGAAGTAGAAGAATTTTGCAAAATGAATAAAGAAAACAAAAAACAGAAATTATGTTCAAGTATCTCTGCATCACATGGGACTGGAAACATTTTCTTTTAGGTTCTCTAGTCTGCATGATTATATAGGAAGGTATTAGGAAGTAGAAAATTGTGGTTAACAATATCAAATTTTGAAAATTAGAAATAGGGGAAGTTTTGGAGACATGGAAGCTTGTTGTAATTGAAAATATGTGAGTGAAGCAATTATTTTTTTTTGTGTGCTGGTAACTTGCTAGCTTGTGATCAGAATAGCACTTTCTAAAGGCACAATACAATATGGTTCTGTCAAAGCCATGCCCACAGCCAAAAAGGAAAGAGAAAGGAAGAAGACGGAAGAACTATATAAAATGGATCACATTGTTGCCAAAAGTTGAAATGAAAGCAGGTATTCGAGTGGGTACAGATCCAGGTTTTTAGATTCGGGGAAGCAGCTAGATATTAAGTATTAAGGTAGGAAGCAACCAAGAAGTGTCAATATATATAATGATTATCTCATTGAGATTTATCGGAATATATTTTGATCAAGCTTTAAGTGAGGGTCATGTAAGGCATAAGCAAAGCATCATTTTAACTTATGAAGATGCTCGATATAGTCCCAAGATCAGCTTGGTATTCCTCCCTTCCCTTCTCGCGGACATATCTGTTGACTACTCTATTTGCTACTGCATTATCTCTGTCACTTGTTTTATCTTACTGTTCATCCCTTTTCCTTCGTTGCCACATTTTCTTCCTATTCACTTGAGCTTCATAGATTTATCAGAATATATTTTGATCAAGCTTTAAGTGAGGCTCATGTAAGGCATAAGCAAATCATCATTGTAACTTATGAAGATGCTCGATATAGTCCCAAGATCAGCTTGGTTTGAAATTGGGATCTGTCAAGCTGAGATAAGTCACACCCATGCAGACCTACTGGTATTCCTCCCTTCCCTTCTCGCGGACATATCTGTTGACTACTCTATTTGCTACTGCATTATCTCTGTCACTTGTTTTATCTCACTGTTCATCCCTTTTCCTTTTTTGCCACATTTTCTTCCTATTCTCATATTAGTCATATTGCTTATTCCCAGTCAGAACCTGCACCCTACTTGTGTAAATGTAGGGCATTCTCATTCCCCTTCCATCAAGTTCCATGCAAACTAACTCTCTAACAGATCCTCCTCTAGGGAAACGGTTGACAAACTAGTGCATCCTGATTGTAGGCAAGGCGAAAGAGCATTTGTCATGATCCCTAAGACTGCTGCATTGTCAATCATCTAGTAGTTTTAGGGTATGGCTTCATGAGGAGAACTGTTAAGATGGTCTGATTATGGTTTTTTGCATGAATTATTCTGTAATCCTAAATTTGCAGACATGAAGAGGTTCGGTTGTGAGTCATGTAATTTTTGTGGTTGGAAGCAGCAGAGCTACAGTTGGCTTTAGTTATTGGAAAGAAATTTCAGAACATGAATTTAGAATAAATAAAGATCCAAAACATGGCTTTACTATATGAGATTTATTTTCCTCATTGAGAGGTGCTTCTTTGGGCTTGTTGGGGTAAGATTTTAAGCTTGAACGTTTTTCATTCATAATATGTAACACAATTGTGTTGGTGTTCATATATTTAAGGAAGTATTATAATGTGCATCAACGTATAAGTTTAAACAATAGTATCTTAAAAGTAAGGTAAGCAATATCGAATAATACCGCCCGGTACGGGCGGTACGTACCGGTCCGACGGTATACCGATACACGGACCGCCCGCTACCGGGCGGAACGAATAATAATATATATATATATATATATATATATATATATATATTAGAAAAAGGCTTGACGACGTCGCTGAGGCAACGCAACGTCGCCTTTTTCGGCGACGTCACCGAGGCAACGCAACGTCGCCTTTTTCGACGACGTCACCGAGGCGACGTGCCGTTGCCTTTTTCGACGACGTCGTCGAGGCGCTTATATATATATATATATATATATATATACCGTTCGGTATATCGTTTCGTACCATACTGAGCAAACGCCGGTACGGTACGGTATTTCGAACCTTGCTTAAAACTATTAAAGCACATTTGTAGTCATCATTTTCATGCTTTGTCTGCTGTTGTTTTTCCATTTTTATCAGTATTTTCAAACTTTTGTAATAAATCATGTTTGATTAAATAACAAATCAGTTCACTGCTGTGTTCATAGTCTTATACGTTTGCTAAATTGATCAAGTTTTCTCTATTGGTCAACTTTGCAATTAGACATCTTAGCTGCTTTGTTAATTTGGTCAATCTTGAACAACTAATTGAGTGTTAAGTCAAATACAATGGTCATTATAAATATTGAGGAGCAATTTCCATGAAACTCTGTAATTGGACTTGAGCTTCATAGCTTAAGAAGACTTGGTTAATGCTAATACGGATCTTACTTAGTGAGCCATTAGAAAAAAATGAATTAGAAAGGGACAATCGTTGGACCAAATAAATCCTGTGAGAAAAGGTTCAAACGAAATGATCTTGGAAGAGTTAGATTCTTCTAACAAAAAAAATGTCAGCTTCACTGGTTTTCTTTACAACTAGCTGTACGGTGCTAATTGTGTTCTTGATAGCGAATAATTTTAAAGCAGACAAGGTGCTCTATCTACAGGTCCTGGACACTCGGGGACGCTTGTTGACAGCTTTGGGTTATGGTTTGTGGCCGTCAATGGTTCTTCTTGCCGAAGTTGTTCAAACTTTCATCCTTGCTGATTTCTGTTATTATTATGTGAAGAGGTAACCAATTTTCTTCCCCAGCATATGGTCTTGTGTGGGTCTTAATGGAAACTATAATTCAGTTATCTCATTTTTTGCTTTGCCTTTTACTTCTTCTCCTGCAGTGTTTTTGGTGGACAACTGGTGCTACGGCTTCCGTCCGGTGTAGTGTGATCTTCCACAGGACGCCTGGTGCATATGAATTCTTTGTGCATAGTGTAATTCCTCTTCTCGCAAAACTAGTGACCACTATGGATTCTCACTTGTGATTTATTAGACCTTAAATAGTGGGTAGAGTTTGGTTGTTACCTGTCTGTCGGTGCTGTGTAGAGCATCATGTGAACTATTACAGGATACTATATGCTTGCAAAAGACTTCCTGGGTAGCTTCATCCTTGTAAACTTGTCACGTCAAGCTTGTGCCCTTTGTGCTATGTCTTCAACATGGCTTGGCTCCATTTTTCTTTCGTGTTTAAAGCTGATTGTGAATTGAATTTATCATGTATCTACGAAGCAAATTTCTTTGGTTTTCTCATATAGGAATAGAAATGCTGCTGGTCTATGGTAAGAAATGGACTGAAACATGTGCCGGGTAGTAGATTACCTGCCTGCATTGTATTGATCTGTCATGCAAGGCCCTGTGGTCTTCGGCTGCATCTCAAAGACAAGAAAACTGGATACCGTACAGACAAGTAGTCCATATGAAATGTTGTGCTTGGAACAGTAACTTGCAGAGATTTAGATATCTCAAAAGTAAATTGCCCAATTACAAGTTTCGATGGACGTAAGCGAATGTACCAACAGAGAAAATACGTATACTATGATTTGATCTGAACATTTTTACAGCGAATCAAGTCTACAATTATTATTATTTATTTAGAAAAGCCCTCCCAAAAGGAAAAAAAAAAGTGTACAGTACTAATCATTTTGGCTATTAATTAAATATTTTTAGAAACATTATGATGGAGTATTAAGAGTTTTCTAGGTATTTATTTATATTTTAAATTCAAACTAGTTAACCAGAAGGGAAAGTGAAGGGAAATCTATATGCAAATTAGTACCCTGCAAAATAAGACTACAAATCCCAAAATAAAACTATTTACTACAAACAAATGATTGAAGGGAATTTTATTTGTAAATAACTACTATTGCAAGGATGAAATCTACAAATCCCAAAATAAGAGCGCGAGCGCTATATTACATTCTTTGCCAATGAAATGGAAAGTTTGTCCAAGTGCAGATACAAGAAGAAGCTCAAGATCATTATACATTTATCTTCCTCCATGCTCAACTTGAGAATTAGCAGCATGGATTACCTGATAATTTCCAGCAGCATTTCCATTCCACTGCCTTAGTGATTTAATGCTATCAAGTCAAAAGTATGTTTCTGTCAGAAGGATAGAGAGAGAGAGAGAGAGAGAGAGAGACTCGCATCACCAAGCAACAATGAAAATAAATACACACAACAAAAATAATAAATCAAACTTTACCTATTTGCTCTGTATGAGAAAAATACTGAATAAAGCTGAGTTAGTCCTGTGATGGCTGCGGGATAGCCACCAGCAACTATCAAGCCAAGAATCCTTGTTCTACAAATACATGGCTGTGAAACTGTTGCAGCAACTTGGTTACTTCAGTCAACTCTGTCAACAAATCAGGCTTTTCTGAATTGAGGATGAGCATGTCAACACTTATCTGACAGTGCAAGAAAAGGGAGAACAAGGTATCCTAGTAGAAAGTAATAATAGAATTTGAAATTCCTGCAGCAAAAATCAACCATTGATGACATGATAAAAAGGAATTAGGCATGAAAATCTTGGAAGGCATGGGTGAGTTCTTGAAAGATGCTTCAGATTTGACAGCAAGAATTAACACTTACAATAATATATAACACGAGCACAAGCATCGAAGTCACCATGTCCTGCAGTAGTTTCAGATTTCCATGAAAGTGATTGAAGCAAATTCACTTGTGTTTATCTTTGGATTTCGCAGAACCCCACTGGAAGTGACCACAGTTCGCTTCGGGATTAGATGCAGGTCCCTAGGACAACAAAGTTGGAAGTATGCCTGGAGTCAACATCAGGAAAACACTATGACCAAGTTACAAATAAGAGTAGCACATTAAGACCAACTTACAAATAAGACTTGACACAGGACAATTCAAAGAAAATTTTGGTCTAATTTTAATTTAGACCACCGAAGTGGCAGCTTTGTATGACAAAAGACCTTGTGCTTATTAAATTTCTAATTTTTATTGGTTCACAATACTAAAATAAAATCTTTCAACAGCTTTAGAGGTTTTAATATTTCAGCTTCATTACCTTAGCAGCCGTAACTTAACTAATGAAGCTAAAATGAAATATTCTGAACAGCTTTAGATGTTTTAGATTGAGCTAAATACATTCTAGCCCCATGTCTTTCGGCAGCTTCACATAACTACTGAAATCTATTGTGTTTTTTGCAATTGAATAACTAGAAAAAAAAATATATATGTTGTTACACAAAATGGTCACAGGACAGATGTTTGAGTACCTGAGCACGAGCACAGACATAGAAGAGACGACCTCTATTTGGGCCTTCTCTTTTCACAGACCTTGAAACACAAGGTTCACCATGACCCTTGCAAATTGGTATAGTCATCTTCATCTTCTGCTGAATCCTTCGCCACTCTTGAACTGCAAAATTATCATTCTCCCTTTTAACAGGAAAGCATGGTTCTGAAACCCTCTTACCATCATGTATGTCTATGCTGGTCCCACTAATTTCACAAGAGTGATTTGCATATTCGTTCTTTAAATCCGACTGTTCTGTTGATTGAGATGTCTCCTCTCTGATTTCCCCAGGATCAGCTTTAGGAAATGTCAAATCATGCTTCAGAGTCTCCTCATCAGCAGTCATAACAATCTTGGGTTGTTTAAAAAAATACTTCAAGGTAAGTTGAGAACATGTATTGTTTCTTGTCATTTTCTTTACTCCTCTGGTGCAATCAGAAGACAGATATTTTAGGCTCTCAGTTTTCTTCTGAGAAAAAGTGAGACTGGAATCCTCATTTAGACTTGGATTAGGTTTCTGTCCTGAATTTAAATTGGAAAAGCACTGGTCTGAAGAATGTTGAGATGCATTGGCAATGATATCCTGCTCTATTTTGCTACAATCTTGGCTTGAAATTTCACATTCATCATAAGTTTCTCTTGCATTGCTGTCACTCGACAAGTTATTTTGCAAGCGATGATGTGAAACTTGCCCTTTAACCAGGAAGGAGACTGCAGAAACATACGAGTCATAACCATGATGCCATAAATCACAAAAAAAAATCAATATGTGAAAAATCATGGACAAAAAGAAATATGAAAATGAGAAAAGTAACAATGTAGCAAGACTGGAACAGCTGGTGTTTTATAATCACCATGATGAACGATGCTTTCCCATAATCATATTACTGTATTTTTTGACTCTCATTAACTTGTCTAGTGATATTATCCATACTTGTCAGTACAGGTTAGTAATTAACACTTCAATGCCCAACAGGGATGTAAACTAAATGATTTTGCTAGGTTTAGTCCAGTATGGGCTATACCATTCAACATGCTCATCCTAACAGTTTTTACTGGGCAACAAGAGAATAATGAACTATATCACTTCCTTTATATTAAGTTTCTAACAACTGCCACAGGCCCACAAGTCTTTTTTTGTTTTTCCTCTCTCTCTTCTCCCAGTGACATATGTTGCACTGCTGCTGCCTTCTCCTACCAGCATGCATCCTCCTCCTTTGTCACCTCTTCCTCCTCCACATTGTCCCCTCCTGCGTTCTCACTCTATCTTTCTCTCTGGTTTAGGTGGTACCAAATTACCAATCAATGTCAGTACCATGTCAGTCTGACCACCAGCTAGTATTGGTAGTGGACTGAGATTTAAATATATCCACATTTTGATTAAAAAAAAATCAATTTTAACATCATTTGTGCAAATTTCATAGAGTAATTACACATTGAAATAAACAAATAAAAGATTGTTTGCAAGAATTTAAGATAAAACAAGGAAACAGTTCTGGTATTTTTAATGTATAACCCTACTTAAACTATTAGGAAAGCATAGTCTTGAATCTTGATGACAGCTGAAATTATATATACATACATACATATATGTATGTACATACATACATAACTATATATATATATATATATATATATATATATATATGTTCATCAGCAGCCAAACAATTGAAATGTTTCTCACCGATACTCTGTTGCCAACCACGAACTTCAGGAATATATCTAACAGCTATGGATGGAGTGCTGTGTGTGGGAAGATCGGGTACATCTCTTAATATGACATAAACAGGAACATGATCCGAACCTTCCAATTTGATTTTTCTCCCTCCTCTCCACCTGCAGACAGCATAATTTGAAAAAGGAAAAAAACAAATGAAGCAAGTAGTAACTTGGCAAAATGTGCATTGATAATTACTTGGGTGCATTCCCAGAATTTCCCCTTCTAAACTGACTCATGATGTCACATGCTTCAACATGGCAATATAAGAAGTAATGATCTTCAGTATCATGCTGCTGATGCAAGCATGGTCCAGCAATAAGAATATGGTCAATCCGAGAACCATAGTTGAATTCCTCAGCTCCAACACGTGGTGAGAAGCAAGTATATGCTTCTTTTCTGTATTAAATACACAGAAGCAGGGACGTGAGCAAGGATATCAGAAACTAATTTACTAAATAGTTCACCTGTGATATAATGAAATATGACCATCAAAAGCATAAGATACATTGAAAAAAAAGCATAAGATAACTAGATAAAAAGCAGCATAATAAAACCATAATTGACATTACGGTGCAATGAGGTGGGCCTTGGCCCAATGGTAAGGCTGTGCAACATCTTGCTGGCATAACATTACATGCTGACATAAGCACTAGACAAATGAAACAATTGTATATGTGCAAAGGCATATTTGATCAGTAAAACCCTGATCAAGTAGGTTGGCAAATTTATTATCTCATAAACTTAACAAGTTACTTATTGCCTGTTTCTTATCTATATGAAAACAGAGGTCACAATGAGACAGGACTGTACCTTCCAGGGTTTTTTGACCGAAAAACATCAAAAAAGGGACCTCCACATTCTTTAAACAAAGATCGCAGCCATTTTCGGAACCTGAGATAATAGACAAAAGAAATTACATCTAAAACATTATATACTCCCCAGGATCTAGAGAAGATATCATACTTCATAGTTAGATTTCAGAAAAATCTTATTGAAGAGATAATTGCTTCATTATTCAAAGAGTTGTGCATGACAATTTATATCCCAAATGACAAACTGCAAGTCGTGTCGGAATATGCATACATGCACATAGTTGTAAAAGAAAAAGAATGCTGCATAAGAAGGATGAGTTGAGAATAAACTAGCTGAGACCACCATTATATAATATTTACATTAATTTCATATTGCCAAAGACCAATAGATGTGTTACAAGCCTAACTTGCCTGACTATTGTAGCAACTAAATTACAATTATGATTAAGAAAGGTAATGTTCACTAACTCTAAATCTGTTCACATAAATTTTACAATCTCAGACTAGAATCTTGGAGCAAAAGAAGTTGGACCTGAGATGAAATCAGCTGATTGTCATGTGACTGTAAAAAAAAAATGTTTTTTGCTTCTCTTTTAGAAATAACAATGACAAACTTGTTCCATTAATAAATGAAAGTGGATTTTCAGGAACTTACATGTTCTTTTCAAAATCTGGACTTGCATCACACCTATCTATGGCAGCAGGAGCAATATTAAGATCTCCCACAACAAAAACTCTCTTCCCCTGGGACAGGAGAAATTCCCATCTTCTCTACAATAAATGTTGAACTTATCAGTGATTGTATGCACAATAGAAATTTAAATTAATTACATAATAACAAATCGCCCATGTCATAAGAAATTTTCATCGGGGAAACTAACACTGGTCCTAGCAGGCAGTATGGACCACAACAACAAGAAGCTGTAATCCCAACAATTTAGGGTTGGCTGCATGGACCTTTTTCTATCATTGAGCTGTGTAGAGCAATCTCCTGGTTAAACTGATAGTATCTTCTTTACATCCATAGACATAGGCTTGTAATCTGTAAGGCCATAACTAGATTGACCTCTTCTTTATATCCAACTATTTTGTATGCTACTTCTCTCCCACCAAACTATGATAAAAGTGAAACCCATATTTATGTAGGAAAATAAGTAAAGATGTAGAAGGCATGTTCCTCGTATTTAAATAGCCCCATGATCCTTTATTTACTATTTTTCATCATAAGTAAAATCAGCAGCAAAGTAAGAAATCCCTAGTCTTTTGTAGGTCAGACAACACCCAAATTTCAATAAGAAAAAAAGGATTTGCAGTCTCACACCTTACTGCTTGATCATGTTACCAAACGGATACTACTTACTAGTACCAGAAATGGGTTGGACTCATATGTACTGGCTATTGCAAAATTAATAACTAAGTATAGAAAATATAAAAGACCAGTTCAAGTTCATTATATGGATGATATACTATGATACTAACTGCACATCTGAGTTTTAAATCCTTGCTTAAGAGGACTTTTAATTTCAGAAATCACATTATATCTATCAAAGAAGATGGTCATCTTGCACTTGACCCAACTATGGTTTAAGTTGTCACCTTGCCCACACCTGAGATAGTTATTAAGCAACTCACCCTTTCTATCATCCATTTGTGGGTTTGTTATTTAAAATGGCTACACAATGACAGAACAACAACACGAGGCTGTAATATTCCAACCACTTGGGTTGGCCACATGGACAGTCTCAATTTGGGCAACAAAGGACCATTCACTAAGCTAATGATTCTTCTATCATACAGCATTCTCAGGATGATAACATCACTTGTTTGCTAGCCAACATTCTGGTCTAGCAGTAAACATATCTTAAAGTTATGTTGTCCAAGTGAGATACCATATCATAATCCACCTATGTACATACTAAGAGTAAAAAACTATGCTGTCCTGCAAACATATACTTACATGAAGAATAAATTATTTATTTGAATTTTTAGAAATCATTATTTTTGTATAAAAAGTGAGTTACATCAGAATTACCCTAATGCAAATAAAAGAAAGTAGTACCAAGTTTGGTACATACCATGAGACAACTGCCTTTCTCATTAACCTTGCTTAAAAGGAATGTTTCACAAGATTCAAATTTCCAACTGTACAGAATATTGACTCTGTAAGATATATCAGCCTCTCCTGCTTTTAATTCATGTGAGTACAAACTGCAAAGCTCCCAATTTTGCAACAGGATAAAATAGGTGGAGGAGGTCAAGAATAGTATCTAAGATACAAACTGTGATCAACAAAATCCCAGGACTTGCTGATCCATCATGAAATAAGTACATAAAGAGCATATTGAGGCATATCATACCGGGGAGGGAGCAACATTACCTGTAAGATCTTGAAGAAAATGAACTTAAAGCGGCATCTCTCCTCATCATCATTTTCAGCTCGTGGTCCGTATATATTAAAAAGTACTGTATTGGCAACAAGTTCCAAGGGGAAGGTTCAATAAAGTTGTAGTCATGGCAATGAAATTGAGGATGATGTTCCAAACATAGACTTGATAGCCATTATGAAAGAGTGAAGTCTGTGCATGTGTCATGCATGGATAGAATAATCTATCTGATACAAGTATAATCTCTCCATCATGGTTATAACTTTAACCATTGACGATTTGACTCACCAAAATGACCATGATCAGTGATAAGACAACGCCCTTCACTATCCACTTTTAACAAATCATCATCTGTGATCTCAAGATCTTCCTCTTCAAATGGTGCTTCAAGCATGAAATCTCTTATTATCTCCCTCTTTCTAGGACATTCAAGAAGACCAGTAAAGCCTTCTTCTGCTTCTAGAGGTAGTGCTGCCTCATTGCTGAAAAATGCTGACTTCACTCGGCAAAATGTTGCAACACCTAAGTACTGGAGCACATTACAAGAGGCAGAGGCTAGAAAGTTGACTCCACTAAAGATAGACAAATTACACCTCACAGGTATGGCAAATGAATACCATGCAATGTTACTGCCACTAAAAATAATTGCAGAAAGTAATAGGAAAAACCAAAGGGCAAAAAGCTAATTAAGTATAATACAAGAATTTGCAGACGGATCTGCCATAACAAAACCAAAGAAGTTTTTAATGAAAATAGTAAGAACATATGTTTGAAACTAAAGAAATTGCACCATTGCTCTATCTAATTGAGCTACAGAACTCAAAAAGATTGCCAAAAATGTAAAATTGCCGCATAGTTTTCATATGGATATCATTTCTCATATTCATATGTAACAAAAGATGTAGTTTATATATTAAAGAAATATAAACAACTTTTATGATTCATGTCAGATCCATGACCTGATCCTACTTAAATAATTCACAATCAAACTGCATTTTCCATTTGTTACAGACATCACAGTGCCATCACAATTGTCATGTGTACCACAGACATTCTTCATCACCACATGAGACAAATAGGAAAGGTAGAGTTTCTATAACCTGTTGAGAAGGTAAATATCATGGGATTCAAAAGCACTCTAAAATAATTTTATTTACTCTTCTTAACATTAGCCAATATTTTGTTCATATGGTGTTGGCGAAGTATCATGTTCATAATGGACCTTATTTGCTATGTTCAAAACTAGAAGCAAATAAGTTTTGGATCTCTTTATGTAACACGAGTAATAGTTATTAATTATAATAATAGCTTTCTATAATATAATTAACACTCAAAATCATAATAAATATGTCACTGTTACTTTTTAAGGGAATTAGTTATCCAGCATCTTCTCTTTGTTACATCTTATGATTTATATATTTTTTCTCAAATTATTTTGTTGTCCCAATCCTATTGATCCAATCATGTAAATCTTGATCATATCACCCCTAGCCAATCCCATTTCTACTCATCATCTTTTAATCTTGGTGTTAAATTGTATCATGTAGTCATGACAATCTGTATTAGTTTTTAAAAAAATGGAAGCACTTTAGGGAACATGAATATCGGTGGCAGGGTTAACGTTGACATGGTGATGAATTCATAGGATAGGCTAGCATATTTAACACTTGAATTTTAGCAGTACTAAACAACAGTGCTATAGTTAAATTTATGAAACATTCAAAAAAGGTCAAAGATGCACTACCTTATTTGATTAAACTTTTTTTTTTCAAATGTCCTACATATCTTAAAGTTCTTTTTGGTTTTATAACAAAAATAGATTTGATTAAGACAAAAAATGTATGCTAATCCCTTGAAAAATGTGCTTATTTTTAGAATTATAATATTGTAATAGTGAAATTTGGACTCAATGGCGAACCAGGTCTTCTATGCACATAACTTTTTTCACATGATCGTTCGACCAGTTCAACATGATTGACTTTGGAACAAGTACAATTAAAAGCTATGAGTAGTAGAAAATCATTCTTGTTTAATTGGATTAGCAAGTTACCTAGGAACATAAACACCATATGTTGGATAATAGAACACTCACAAATCCTGGGGTTCAAATTTTCATAAAATCTATGCGGCCTTACCAGAATAGCTTGAGCGCCCTTTGTTAGTAGTACGAGTGCAAGATACAAAAGCTTCATAACCCTCCGCCATAGTTAAATCTACAGATAAGTCTCGTCTTGATAGCTTTGTTTCCTGCCATAAATAATCTGGTTAACACAATTAAGAACTTTCAAAGTATTACAGAATACAAACTATTAAGAAATCTTCATTTTACTATGAACCGATGCATGGAATTTCTAATGGTATATAAAATAATTTAACATAATTTTGAAACATGTTGTAAGACAGTGGAAACACAACAAGAAGTAGACCATGCCATTAGAAGTCTCAGAAGCAGAAAATATTAATTGGAAGATTTTTTATTGTTTGTACTGTGCGACAGTTTGGCCCACCTCTTAAATTATCTGAAGATAACTATATCATTCATTTTCAGTTGAACTCACAAGAAGATCCCTATAATTGTAGTTCCATGCGAAATATGGGCCATCATAATTCAACAAACATATGCATCAACACCATAATAAGAATTTTTCAATGTTTTATTATAATATCTAGCACTATATAGACTTCCTCCATACAATAAGCAAGCTCTGAATTTTATTGTATTAACCATATTGAAGTGATACCCAAAGAAACTGCTTAACCATATAACACAAAACAAATTTGGTAAAGCATGGAACACAAATTTTGTCCATGAAAGAAACAGCATACACAATTCAACGGAAGATATCCATTGCCCTACCAAGTTCAGATGAGTTACCAAAGATGACAGTTTCTGTTTTTTATTTTCTATTGTTCTACAATCTTGGTTACCAAGTTCTGCATGAGTAATTTTTGGGCATATCTACCATGTTCATTTGAAAAATTAGATCAAATGAAAGTGACATGTGAACAGGCACACAGCAGCTCGACTGTTCAAGGCAGAAGCATATTTAATCTTGAGACCACCAAGGCATTAAGATTTTGATGCCCATCATTTCTTTTAACTTATTATGCACAGAAGATGAATTCTGCGTCCCTACACAATAATTTCACTATGATTCCATGGCCACAAGCAGTCAATCACATCCTCGTAGCCAAAAACTGGATATGTCTTCTTGAGTTGACAACAGTCATCAGCCAACTATATGACTCTGCAAGTACCTTCTACAAAGCTTTCTCATTATCAGATCGGGATGCAGAGGCAGCTTATTAGGGTCAGACACTGAAATAATAGTGATTATCTACACACCCTAGAAGCTCATTTTCCACAGTGCACCGTTTCCTGCATACATGACAATAATATCATGTTTAAGCAACTCCCTGTCATCATCAACGCCATCATGGACCGGCTTAACCTCAAACCCTAAAAATTATCATCTCATCTTCATAATTTCGCTCGGTCTCTTATCCAAAGTCAAAGGAAGAAGTCCTCCATCTTTAATGCAGGAGGTATCAGCCCCCTCTCCCTCTCTCTTAACAATTTGTGCAAGAAATCGAATCATGTAATCAAAATCTCCCACTTCGAATTCGGGTCATTAGAGCAACCCAACCAACCATGAAACCCCAAACGAAACCACAACCAAAACATTTGACCCAGAATTCGGAGCAGCAGTAGCTATTTAAAGGATCGTTATACAAAAGGAAGAGATCAAAAGAGAGAAAGCGAGGAGGGCGTCGGGGAGTATCAGTGCCTGGAAGCAGATGATGTCGGCGTCGAGGGAGGTGAGGAGGCGGAGGAGGGAGCCGTGCTGGGAGACGCGCTGCCTCAGCCCGTTAACGTTGTACGTCACTATCTTCATCGAAGGCGACCGCTTCGATTTGGCCCTCCCCCAATTCCAACTATGGAACAAGAAATAGCGAGAAGGGCAGCGCGGCGGTGAACGCCGGAAATGGCTACTATCGCCGCAGTTTCCCGAACTCTGCGTTTCCGCCCGATTAAAATGAAAGAAATACGTCTCATGTTCGTTTTATACGCCGTTTAATACACTGAATAAAATATAATTAAAATATATAATAATCGTAACGAGCATAGCATTATATAATATGATGATATAAAATATAGGTCTCTTAACTCAAAAGGGGTCCGACTCGGATTCTCCGTTTGGTTTCCGACTACGCGCCTTCGTTACCAACAGCCTGGCTTATATGAAAACACAATATAAGTGACAATCATTATATATATATATATATATATATATATATATATATATATATATATATATATATATATATATATATATATATATATATATAGAGGACAGGAATTGATTGGAAGAAAAAAGGTTCACACTATTATTTATGAATTTGTGCGTATGGACAAAAGTTAAAAGACAGATTATTCTAGGCTATTTATCCTCTATCGCCCATATAGATAAAATGTCAAGAAAAAATATTTGAACGGTTACAAGTTATCCCATTTAAAATCAAGTATAAAAACAAATCTTCGATGCTAGAGGGCTATTTTCTCAAGAAAAACTCATATTCACTAAGAGATTTCGGTCATTAACTTGAGTGTCGAAAGGATTGGGTTGAAAATTTTCTCGTGACATCGGTCTTAGTACAAGTGGCATCTTAGGAGCCCATCATTTCCACCTCAAAGCTACTGGTCATAAGTGCCTTATAAGCCAATCACATGAGTGATGACACGTATGACATGCATTCCTTTTGCTTATTATATTATTTGACATTTTATCACTTTATATTACTTGTTGTATGAATATATATTATGATGTTCATGAATCTGTGCAATAAGAATCGGATTGTGATGAGATCACGATAATTGCTCATGTGGGAATACTATGGCTATAGTGAAGGTACTCATTCGAGAATGAGTTCACTGATTGGTCCACTCATGGAATGTTGGATGGTTAATAATATCTCATTGTCAAATAACGATTTTGTTATCCTAGTGGTGTATCTAGTCCTTAGACTTGAGACATCAAGGATATTCTGTATAAGTACTCCACTCTTTGATACCAGACTATAGATTTGAAAGTTTTAGATCTAACACAATCGGTCATCGGGAGTGACAAATAACCTTACGAGGACTATTGAGTATTGATAGAGGATTATCCACTCTCGATTTTATAAGAGAAATATTACATATATTATTGCTTATAGAAATCTCTAGTCAGGGTTATTCGAATTTAAATAGAAAGAGTTCTTCGGGAGAATTCGACTAGCGCAAGACTTGAGTAGAAACTATATGGGTTTGACAACACCATGCTCGATATACGGTCTCTGGAATATTAGATAGATGAGGGACTATAGATACATGGTAACTAAGGACAGACATGCCCACTGGATTGTATTCCCCTATATCTTCTGGGGATTGCAGCATAGTGGCCTAATATGTCCGTAGTCGATGAGTCGAGTGAATTATTATGAAGATAATAATTCACTAAGCTAGAAGGAGTTCTGACATATATGACTCTTAGTCAGTTTGATGTTGGGCCTAGAGGGTCACACACATATGGTAGGCATTACGACAAGTAGAGATTCAGATATGAGATATCCATCAGTGCCTCTATCTTATTGGATATCCAATAAACCCATGAATTATTGAATCATATGGAGGAGATTTAATAAGAGCTAATAAAGATATTATTGAATAAAAATTCACTAATCTAAGAGGCTTTAGTAGTTGGATGAAGATCCACTATCTAATAGGGCATGATCAATTAGGGTTAAGTTGACAAAGAGCCTCTATAAATAGGAGAGAACCAAAGATTCATAGGCTAGAGCTTCTCTTGGTTGCCATATTCTATTCTCCTCTCCACTTCTCCTCCTTAGATAGCAGGCCTAGAGATTTAAGGAGCGTTGTTACAGCCTTACTGTGTGGATCACCGCTAGAGAGAATGATGCTTGACTTCCTTCATCCTCTTCTATAGATCTGTAGAGATTCAAAGATATACGATCTCCCTAGGTAAAACATAATCTTTTATATACACAGTTTTTTGTTTTATAGATTTTACACACCAATCTTCGCACGATGACGAACACAATTTATGAAAAATTTGAGGATTTTTATTTTCTATTCTTCTGCTACAAATTTGATATCGCCCCTAGATTTCCTTATAATAGAGATGTCACTAGTGACCTGAGGACATGGTACGCTTAGTCAAATCCCTCGGTGGCATATTATCGAGTCAAACTCATCTTGGAACAATGGTGATAACTTAACTAGACATCATGGTTGGTTAAGTCCCTCAAGACCATGATGGTTCGGAGGCTTAACAGGATGAGAGTCATAAGGTGTTGTGATCGGCAAGAGTTGCATACCTTTTAGGCTTAGCGTAATTGGTCGAGTCCCTCGAGGTTATCTTGAGATGCCAACTGGGTCATGATCCCCACTAGATATCCATCGGAGATATTCGATTCATATACTGGAGAGAGTTGTGTGCTTCGTGAGAAAATAGTAGGAGTACAATAAGATAGAAGACCATATCTTGGTTGTTTACTTTTTGCAAAGTTTGCAAGTTATTTATTTCTACTATATGTTTATTTTTAGAAAATATTATTTTCAAATCTCTTATGTGGCATACTTGATGTCAACTATCTCATTGGTCTAAATTACACGGATTGGCTCCGCAACCTGAGAATCATTCTCATAGTAGTGAAAATTGCATACGTCCTTGATATAATGATACCTACGTGGTTCCTCGACTCCTAGGTTACAGAAACAACATGAAAAGATGGTTGTCATATCTATTCTCCAACATGTCTGTAAACTGTTTGAGGAATAGGGAAATACTCTGCAATATGATATATCAATGTGCTAGGATAACTAAGGGAATACCGGTTTAAAATCATGTCCTAAGAATGATTGAGTGGATAAAGAAACTCACAGAATGGTCATAGAGGATAACCTGTGTATGAATTTTGTTCTTCAGTCCCTACCAAATTCTTTTTCTCAGTTTATAATAAATTTTAATATGAACAAGCTTGAGGTGACTTTTCTTGAGCTCCTCAATATGTTGAGAGAGACTGAGAGCACTAATCTTCGCATGACGACGAACACATCTTTGAGAAATTTGGAGATTTTATTTTTTGTTCTTTCGTTGCGCATGTAATGTCGCCCCTAGAATTCCCAATAACTACCCAGAGTTCATTATATTTCAAAATGACATATAGATAAGGGAAGTGTGGTTAAAACTCTATCATCAATTGATTATCATCATAAACAAAGGGGAGATTATTGAATCCTGAATTTTAATGATGAAATCAATTGATGAGTTTATGGACTAATATGCTTTTGAGATAAGTGATGCAGGAAATATATCGACCAAGGACTCGAACCATCAATGGCAAATTATCGAAGTAGAAGAATCAGAAGTTGTGTCGAGAAAAGTATCATATCGAAAATTTGGCATCGAGTCGGAGGATTGGTCGATGTATCAAAGAATGGACTTCATATTATAAATTCGGGCATATGTTAAAAAGATTAAGTATTACGCCAAAAGATCAGATCTCATAGGAAAGTTGACCTATCGATAGATCAGGCGATATACCGAAGGAAAAGACGATGTATCGGAGATTCTGACAAATATCGAAAAATCGGACGATATGTCGAAATGACATAAAATGTGTTGAAAGCTTTGTAAGTGTGTCAGATATATGGTTGGATTGTTAAAGTCTTATTCGAGGTCTTTTTAGGTCAAATTGAGTTGGTATTGGGCCAAAACCATACCAAATTATCAAGAGACCTAATGGGCTTGGACTTGGGCCAAATTAGGCCCATTAGAAGGTCAAAACAATAGCCTTGAGCAAGCCTAGATGATAGTACCACTAGACCTAACAGTGATATTACCTGAGTCAGCTGACAAGCACAAAAAGTGATTGTCAATGCTGCCGATGGTGGTACTGCCTATATAGGCGATGGTACCATCCGAAAGTTAAAAATTGCATGTCAAAAGTTACGATAGTAATACTGCCATATGTTAACGATAATACCACCCATACCCCCAAATTTTTGGGGATTTAATTTTTTTAGCTTTATTTTGAAGCCTTTTGAGGCCTATAAATACCCCACTAAGGCGTGAATGATAGAGCATCAATTTCTAAGTTTGTAAAAGGTTATAGCTCTCTCTTTGAGCATTGTTTGAGTCTCTTCCTTCGTGAATTTAAATGTGATTCTAAGTTATAGGAGATGAGAGATCTTTTAAAAGAGTGAATGTAGAGTCTCTCTTCTAAGCATGTTTAAAGAAGAAAAGGTATAATAAGGGTAGTGAATCTTCACCCAGTGGAAAGAAGATCAATAGTAAAAATCAGTAGTCTTAAGGGAAGAGAAATCCAGAGTTGACATAGGTCGGGAAGATTGAACTACTATAAATTGGTATTCATTCCTTCCCTTGCTTATGATTTGTTATTGCTTACTTATTTACTTTACTCGCAACCCTTGTATTTTTGGTTAATCGTATTTCCGATACAGATTTTTTGATCGAACTTTAAAATTAGATAAAAAAATTATTATATCACTAATTCACCTCCCCTCTTAGTGCTATTACGATCATAATAGTCGTAGGGTGAAATATACTTAGGGCGTGTGAGTCAGAAAAAATATACTTGAGGTGTATAAGTCAGCAAAACCCAACCCGTGTCAAGAGAAATTTGTTATGACATAATAGTAGGATGAAATGTGCTCGAAACATGGGAGTTAGGAAAACCTAACCTATGCCAAGAGAAATCCGTTACGGTAAAACCCGACCCTCACCCGACTAAAGAGTGTCCTTTAGTCTCCACAAAGGGACATGAATGGATTCATCGGATGAATTAAATGTTACACTTTAGGCCCTTCTAACAAGAGCCTCGAAGCATGCTTGGGCAGGAGGGGGAGATGGGGACAAATGATAGAGAATATATTAATGGCCAATCGTCATCCGACACATAAACGTCACATGGAAACTATCATAGAAGGAAAATG